GGATGGTAACAGGGTGTAGGCTTAATGGGGTATTGACTTAATGGGGCTGAGAGGCTCCAGGGCCCCCACAAACATAGCATGGGAGCTGGGAAAAGCAGCAGCACAGGGACTGAGATTTATTTTGCACATCAATAAAAGCAGGCTAGCTTCGTAGCCTGCCCAGATCCAGGGAGAGGGACATGACTTCGACCCGTGATGTACCTGGAAGGCAGCTCCCCAGTTACAGTGCCTGAGCAAGGGCTCGGAGATGGTTCACTCCATGCCAAGGAGCCATGCCTCCTGGGACTAACAGTGGCAGCCAAGAAACGCTGAAGAAACCAAACTACTGGCAGGCATAACCAATTGTGGGAGGAGTCAGAAACATAGTTACAAGGGAAGATCCACAATGGGATTTAAACACGGGCATGGCAACCATGTGGGGGCTTAATCATGCAGTTTTGTGAAGTGGAAAAGGCCCTCTCTTGATCATGTAGCTTAGGAAACAGGAAAGCAAGATGTAGCAACCATGAGGAGCTCTCCCTTAGTGATTTGAAAGAAAGCAGGACTCCCACTAGCCCACCATGAGGATGAGGTTGTGGATTAAAAATGGGACTCCAGCCTTCTATTTCTTTCTTTTTGAAAAACATCAGTGTGTGGTTATCTCTCACACACACCCCTACTGGGGAACTAGCCTGCAACCCAGGCATGTGTCCTGACTGGGAATCGAACAGGTGACCCTTCACTTCTCAACCTGGTGCTCAATCCACTAAGCCACACCAGCCAGGGCCTGACTTCTATTTCTCTTCCTGAGATGCTGTATCCATGACTGACCTGGTTTGGCAAGGGGAGGCAGAACTGTGCGTGTGTGTTTGTGGGTGTTTTAAAGGGACTTTGGGATTCAACAGCCACATTCTGCCATTACTCTAAACCTGTATAACTTTTGAATAAATAGTTCCTTTCCTTTTTTACCACACCCTGACATTGAAAGCCATAGTTCCTAATACAGTGGTGGACAAAGAAAAACCATACTGAAAAAACACCCTGGGGGAGGGGGCTTGTTTCTGTAACAGGAGGGGGAGGGGAAGAGAAGGAGGGAAAGGGAGAGGGAGAACGAGAAGGAAAAGAAACAGTCCAAACTACTCATTTTTTCCAGTCCCCGGGTTCAGCTCCTGAAACTGCTCTTTGTTCAGCACTTCCACCAAATACGTAGCATTTATTGCTCTACTTTTGTCTCCCAAAACTACAACAAATACAAGGCTAGAGTGCTGTAAGTGACTTCTGCTAAACTACTGGGGAGGAGTTAGGCGTATTTCTACACAGCATCTACTAGGAAACAATTTAAAACCAAATACTGACATCTTAAAGAGAACGGTTACTGCTGTAAGTTTCAGTCTACCACCACTCTGACAAATTTTGCTCCTCAAGCCAAGAAATCTGCTTTTCCATTTAACCACTCTTTTCTTGGTTCCAAGAACAGTCAGCCTCTTTCTCCATTTGGCTCCCTGAAAATAATCCAAGTTCTTTTTTATATATACACAAAGCAATTTAATTCTCAGTCTACATCCAAGACTAAGCTCTGGACCTAGTTTGCTTTTCATACAAGGTTACTATTAGGGAATTTTTTAAAAACAAAAAGCCATATAGCTCTGATCTGCATTCTCAGCTAAGCAAAGAACAGAATAAGCAAAGTGAGAATCTTCCCTTAGTTGGAAATTTGTGATACTATTTGGAAAGAAATAAAATTCAAATTAATGAGCATGCTCATTTCCAATCAGAGCAAATGCCATAAGTTATTTTGTCTTTCTATTACAGATGTTTTGAAACATTTTACAATGAGCATGAATCCCTTAATAAAATAAAATTCATCAAATATTACAAAATATTATGTGCTGCTAAATGATGAATTCTTCCAAAGTACTTAAATTTTTTTTAAAGAAAATAGCCCATATGCTAGCTCTGTTCCAGTCTGGCCCCTTGTCTTTTTTTTTTAAGATTTTCTTTATTTATTTTTAGAGAGAGGGGAAGGGAGCAAGAAAGAGAGGGAGAGAAATATCAATGCATGGTTGCCTCTGGTGCACCCCCTAATGGGGACTTGGCCAGAAACCCAGGCCTGTGCCCTGACTGGGACTCGAATCAGTGACCTTTTGGTTCACAGGATGACACTCAATCCACTGAGCCACACCAGCCAGGGCTGGCTCCTTGTCTTAAGACCTCCCCCAATCTCCCGCCTTTCTCTTCTTTTGTTTTGTTTGCATTTTACAGGGTTAAATAAAAGGCTATGAACTTAAGAAGGACAGGAAAAAGATACTGGCTCTGAGGTGTAAGGAGATTCCAACACATTTAAACTCTGCTTGCTATAGATAAAAATTACACAATTACCTTTTCCAATTGTGAATATTTAGATGAAATCAGTCTGGAGTCAGACTTCAGAACACTTAATTTTACTCAGCATCTTCAGAAAAGGGGATCTATAATCATTAGAGCTTAAATGCATAAACATTCACATTTTTAGATCTATGTATCTGGCTTTATATATTATATTAAGTTTGAAACATTTTGGTAGAGCCGACAATGCATGCACGTTTTGAATTGTTAGAATTTAGCAGTGCTTGGTTTACAAAAGTCATTACCTAGACTAGAGATCTGTACTTAGATAGCATGTTAAGACTAAAATCATATTTTTAGAAAATTTCTGAGAGTGTCTGGAAATTATGAAAACCTCGAATTCAAATAATACATACAATTTGCTTAAATATAAAAATGTTTACAATATTTATCATTTAGATTTTTGTTTTTAAACTGGATAACACTGCCACCTTGTGGCAAGGACTGATTATTGAAGCTTTTTCTTAAATATTAAATTACAAAAAAATTAACAAACAAAACCACAATTTTTTCCCTGATGAGACATGCTGCATTAATAAGTAACTGTAAACAGGAATATGCATTTTGGCACATTCTCTTAAAATCACAATGTATAATGTTGTAACCCAACATTCTTTAAAAAGAAAAGAAACTAACACATCAATAGCCTTCAAGAAATATAAAGGTTCAAGAGCCAAAATATAAAAGAAACTCATCAATAGTTCTAGATCATCAAAACTGTAATTTATATTTTTATCCCTTTAAGTCACCATTTGGAAACCTAACATGTGCCTCCTCTAAAAAAGTATAAGGAAAAAAACCAAGCACAAACCAGGTCACACATCCTCACAAAAAATTATGCAAATGGTTTGATTTTGCAAGCAAACAGCAAAATGTCTTCATCCTGCTCCTAGAATTTCAGAAAAAAACAAACAAAATGATAACTGAGTTGTCCTTATTTTATCTGGACTTTTAGTTTGTGACCTTAGCTACCTAATGTCTCAGAATCTCAGTTTCTTCACCTGAGAATAGGCATAATAACATCACCTACCTAACTGCATTGTTGAGAAGATTAAATGAATCAATATAGTAAAGTGGTCCTTAGAGCCATGCCTGACACCACAGAAAGCATTCATAAAACTTTAGCTCTCATTATCATTACCAGTGGATCAAGGTCAGAAATGTACATACATCTCTTATGTGTCAGGTTTGGCATAATTCTGTGACAGGACTTGATTTTCCTGTTATTCTAGGAGTGTGGGCTCTGTAGGTTCCATTCATTGCTTGCATAGGATAAGTGGTAAGTGTGCTCTATCATTCTATTTGAACCCTTCTGTTTATGGGATGCACTTTCAGTCTGTCCCCCTTCTGGCACTGATTACCTTTGAGAAAATTAATCTTTCTAAGTTTAGCTTCTTTTTGATAAAATGGGGGACAACAGTGCATATTTCATAAGGCTGCTCTGATGATTAAATGAACTAATGCACAAAGAAATCCCTTAGCACACTTTGTCTTAGAACAGCCTCAACCAAGGTTATCCAGTGTATTTACAAAATGACATACACTTCATTTACAACAACATTAGCACCAGTTACATAATATACATTATTGAGGAAATGAGGTGACAGATAAAATGATATATGTCTGAGGGGGTGATGGGGTGAAAGAACAATATAACTGCTAGCACAGATATGGACATAGAAAATAAGTATAGTGTAAGAGGCAGGATAATGTGATGATAACACTCTTGGAAATAAAATCGAATAGATAGACCTGGGTATGAATTCTGGTTCTTTGCCAACTGGTGAGGCCTTGGTTGATTTACCAAATCTTTTGATCAGGTTTCCTCAGAATTGGGGATAGTTGTATTACTGAGGGATTGAATGAGAAAATGTTAAGTGCTTCCCAGTGAGCCTGGGACAAAAAAGAACTAAATACATAGTAATCATAGTTATTCTTAATTATTTGTAAAGGGATATTTTCTGCTTTAAGGACTTGAATAGCACACAAGCACAACCCTTTAAAGCATTCCAATTTCTATGTGAAAGAGGTGGTAAGTGGAAATTGGGACAGACATTGGAAGTGAATTATTTCAGAACTGGGGCATGAAAAGCCAGGAAGGGTTAGGGCAAGTATCTTTGAATTGGTTGCTTAAAACAGCAGGCACTCGGGGTGACTGCCGAGCATAAGTTCTGTGACTCTTTCCAACTTCTTGCTTCACCCTCTTAAGCTCTTGGAGAGGGGGAAATAAAGTGGTCAAACGGGCCCTGCCTTGCCCCTGTCTCACCACACGGGGGAGCACGTAGGCACTTAGATACCGGCATGGTGACGTCACAATAACTGAGGCGGGGCCTCGCAACGAGGTGAGGCGGTGATACTGCCCCACCTCGAAGTCAGAGTCATTTTCTTCTTCCACTCACTTCAGGCCTGTTGGCGGAGGAAAGGTCAGATGACAACCTAAAACTCAGCCAGCCAAGCCCACAGCTGTGATCGCTGGTGAGGTCAACTTCAGCAAGCTGGAGGCATTAATAATCTTCTTTAAGTAGCCCTCGTTTAGTTTTCTCATTCTCATCTTGATAGAGGGGTATGTCGAGTTACCGGTCAAGCTGAGAAAAACCAGAAACATCCTACAGCCTCCTACCACAGCACTATAGTTAATGGTGCCAATTCCATCAAAACGCTTAGTCATCAGCCAACCAGTTGGCTGCCAGCTCATCATCCATCAACCAGTCCTCAGCCAACCAGGCACTAATCAACAGAGTATGATCCAATCAGGCACCAGCAAGCTAGGCACTAATATGAACTCACTGGACATGAACCAACCAAGCACAAGCCTACCTGACATGAATCCACTGGGCATGAAACAACCAATTGTGAGTCAACCACGTACGGGCCAACCAGGAATTACTGAGCCAGAAATGAGCCAACCAGGCTCCATCCAGCCTAGTGTGAGACAACTATTCATAAGCAAATTATATAAAGGCCAATACAGTACAAGTGAACTAGACATGAAACAACCAGACCTGAGTGAATTCGGCATGAGTCAACTGCACCTAGGCCAGAGCCAATCCATCATGATTGAACCAAGTATGAAGAAACCAGACCTGAGTGAATTCAGCAAGAGTCAACTGCACCTAGGCCAGAGCCAATCCATCATTATTGAACCAAGTATGAAGAAACCAGACCTGAGTGAATTCAGCAAGAGTCAACTGCACCTAGGCCAGAGCCGATCCATCAAGACTGAACCAAGTATGAAGAAACCAGACCTGAGTGAATTCAGCATGAGTCAACTGCACCTAGGCCAGAGCCAATCCATTATGATTGAACCAGGTATGAAGAAACCAGACTTGAGTGAATTCGGCAAGAGTCAACTGCACCTAGGCCAGAGTCGATCCATCAAGACTGAACCAGGTATGAAGCAACCAGACCTGAGTGAATTCGGCATGAGTCAACTGCACCTAGGCCAGAGCCGCTCTATCATGATTGAACCGGGTATGAAGCAACCAGACCTGAGTGAATCCAGCATGGGGCAACTGCAAATACGTGGGAGACAATCCATCTGGAGTAAGCCAGGTCCGAAGCAACCACACCAGAGCAAATCAGGCATAAGTCAACCACAGGTAGGCTGGAGCCAGTCCACCCCAAGTGAACCAGGTATTAAGCAACCACACCAGAGCAAATTAGGCATGAGTCAACCACAGGTAGGCCAGAGTCAGTCCACTCGGAGTGTACCAGGTATGAGGCAGGCAAGCACAAGCCAATCAGGTATACGTGAACCACACATGAAGCAACCGAACCCAACAAGCCCAAGCCCATCAGGCGGGAAGCAACCAAGCATGAACTTTTTCCAAATAAGATCTGCAGAGGCTCGAGACTGCATGAAACTTCTGCATTTAATTCAAGTAAGTTTTTTCTCCCTTGTTCCCTGGAGCTTTGTGGCATTAGTTTAGGGCTTAAAGAGCGAATAGGCTAGGCTCAAATCCCAGTTCTACTAATTATGACCTGTGTACACAACCTTTTGGAAGTTACTTTAACCTCTCTAAGCTTCAATTTCCACATTGAAAATCAATAACATAGTACTATCTATATCAAGAGATTGTTGTAATGACGCAGTAACATAAAATGATTACACATGAATTGCTTGACTTATAATAGGAGGCTCAAAAAGTCAGGCAGCCTAGCTGGTATAGCTCAGTGGATTGAGTGGAGGACTGCAAACCAAGGCATCGAGGTTCGATTCCCAGTCAGGGCACATGCCTGGGTTGTGGCCAGGTCCCCAGTAGGGGGCACGTGGAAGGCAACTACACATTGATGTTTCTGTCCCTCTCTTTCACCCCCCCTTATCCTCTCTCTGAAAATAAATAAATAAAATTTTTATAAAAACCTTTTCTTAAAAAAAGTCAGGCAGAAACCAATTCATGTAAATTTCAGGGACCTAATGCCGTTGTCCCTCCTGGGGAAGTTTTAACTTTAAAAAAGGATATTAGAGAAAACAAGTGCTTAACTCAAACAAATGACCTGTTAGTAACAGAATTTCAGGTATCGATGTCTAAGGTTTTAGGGTAGAGAGTCTTGTTGCTTTTAAGGCCACACCTACTTGTACAAGCTAATGTTTGTCCAGAAAACAATATTCATCCACAACAAATTTTCCATACAATTTCAGACAGTTCTTTGACTCCTGAAGCCTATCTATTGATAGTCTCCAAGTGTCCAAAGAGCTAGGTTAAAATTTCCTAATTTAAAAGTTCAGCCCTGGCTGGTGTGGCTCAGTGGATTGAGCACAGGCCTGTGAACCGAAGGGTCTCCGGTTCAGTTCCTGGTCAGGGCACATGCCTGGGTTGCAGGCCAGGTCACTAGTAGGGGGCATGTGAGAGGCAACCACACATGGAAGTTTCTTCTCTCCCTCTCTTTCTCCGTCCCTTCCCCTCTGTCTAAAATTAAATAAATAAAATCTTTTAAAAAATTAAAGTTCATTATAATGGTTTTCCTGAAAATAATTCTAAGATAGTAATGGGGACAAACGAAAAGCCACAGTCACTGTACTGAAGTTCTGCAGCACTCAAGGCAATCCTTTATGTGATGCACAATGTAAAGAATTCCATATAGTAGCCTAGATTTTTAATAGAGTAAATATGTGGCTGGAAAATGTTTCCAGCTACTAATTTATATACTTTAAGTCAGACCAAGTTTCTATTTCCTTAGAGAATGTGTTTTAATGGACAAAACAAACTTCCATTTGTGGAAATGATGCTAGGAGCCTTCACAGATCTATTAATAATGAGTTATTTAGCCCTCTTTGCCTTCCATTCTTTTCTATCTTCACGAGTTCTTACATCATTGGCCTAAGTGGTACTAATCTGCACTTAGATCATCCATCAAAATGCTATGCCCAACAGCTTAATTATTCCACAAGAACACTTTTTCCAGGTAGCATGTAATTTCAAGCCATTTTTATAACCTTAGTATGTGACATTTGGTTGGCAACTAATAAATTTACTGTTGAATGATGGTGAATCTCCATATGGAAAACTCACCTTCCTTAGCTTTGCAAACAGTGCCCGTTGCTATGACCAGGAGAAAGGTACATTATGAGACCCTCTCACTTCAATGAACCTTTATCTGTGGATTTCCTGCCTATATTTACTTTCAAATTTGCCTCAAGTTCTTGAATGTACATTTAGCTTTTCTTGGTAATAACTTTAGTGAGTATTTGCTGTAGAAAGATAATATTCTAGAAAAGATAAAGTAACTACTCCACATCATAGGTATGCATATAATGATTGATTAGCTTTGGGCTTCATGTACCTCTCCAATACATAGACATCCATTTACCTAACTCCTTTTCATTGCTTAAGTCTGCAAAATGTTACCTCTTTGCAAGGAAATTTAGGAGAGTTTACCACCTTACTAATTCATTCCTTAGCTGAGTGTTTTGCAGGTTTTATTTAATGTCCTGCCACTAAAATTCTTCCAAGTATCCTCTGTGTGCACCCATTTTATCCTATTCTTAATCCCCAACCCATGGCATGACTTAGGGATCTAGTCATTTCATGGCTCAACAGCCAAAACTTCTTGCTTACCAGGCTTTCCATTTATATATATTCCATTTCTTTCCATAATGTATTGTATGGTGACTGTACTTACTGTATGGTAACAATACTGTATTGCATTTTTAAAAGTTGCTAAGAGACCTTAAAAGTTCTCGTGACAAGAAAAAAAGCAACTATATGCAGTGATTAATGTTAACTACACATTTTTTATTGTTCAAGTACACTTTTCTGCCTCCCCCCAACGCCTCCCCACCATTCCCCACCACCCCAGCCCTCGCCACATTTTAAAAAAGATTTTGTTAATTTATTTTTAAAGAGAGGGAGAGAAACATCAATATGCAGTTCCCTCTTACACATCCCCAACTGGGGGCCTGACCTGGCCTGCAACCCAGGCATATGCCCTGACTGGGAATCAGTTCGGTGACCCTTTGCCTCTCAGACCAGCACTCAATTCGCTGAGCCACACCATCCTGGGCTGTGTTAACTTATTGTGGTAATAATTTATATATATATATATATACATATATATATATATACACACACACACATATATATATATCAAATTATTATTTTGTACACTTTGGACTAACACAGTGTTATATGTCAATTATATCTCAATAAAACTGAAAAAATAAAATAAAATAAATTAAGACAGCAAGAGTAACTATTTTTATAATCTGCAAGTGGGGATGGCTTTCCAAGGGTGAAATCCAAACCACGAATAATTAATTTGACTGTGTACAAAAAAATGCCATTGTAAAAAAAGCCTGATAAAACAAAGTCTAAAGTTAAATGGAGAAAAAAGCCTCTCAGGCAACAGGGCAGACTTGTCTGTCAAGTGTATGAGCTTTATAATAGTCGATGTATTATTGACTCTGTGACATCTACCTGGAGTGCTTAGAAAACTCTTGAGCTTCTCTTCCTAATTTCTGGTTGCATTTAAGTCTAGTTACCTGGACAATTGACTTTCATATGAGTGAAGTTTCAGCATAGTTAATTTTTCTATATATACTCCTTTGTTGTATGTGCCGTTTTAGATTTCGAGTTAACCCCAGAAGACTGGGGTTAAGTCTTACTTTTCATACTACCTAGAACATTGTATATTAATAAACACTGGATAAAAACTTTATGATAATCATCTTAAGAATTCATTAATAAACCATAAACTAAAAGGTTTCTTTATTTTGACAGGAATCGGCTGCCTCTGAGAACATGTTGCATGTAGTGAAGTTAACAGCAGAGGGTAAGGTGTTCTATGGTATTTTCAGCACTAGACTAAGAAATGGGCCATAGGCGTGCACACAGTTCTACTTCCACTTATACTTACTTATATTCCATAAATTGAATATCATTTAATTTTCATTCATCTCAAAATGCTAATTTCCCTTGTGATTTCTTCTTTGAGCCATTGGTTAAGTATGCGCTGTATTTGTGAATTTCCTAGTTTCCTCCTTGTGTTTCTAGTTTCATTCCATTGACTGGAAAAGATACTTTGTATGATTTCAGTCTTACAATTTATTAAGACTTTTTTGTGGCCTAACATATGGTCTATCTTGGATAAACTTCCATGAGCACTATTCTGTTTTGGGGAAGAATGTAATGTAGATTTCTGGTAGGTCCACTTGATCTGTAATATTGTTAGATAATCTATTGATTTATTATTCTTCTGTCCAATTCAATACAATATTGAAATTGGGGTATTGAAGTTTCCTTTTACCATTACATAATATCCTGCTATTATTGTAGAGCTGCCTTTGTCTTCTATTTTGTCAATATTTGGTTATACATTTTGAAGCAACAATGATACTTACTGTATAAGTGTTTATAAATGTTACATATTATTTTTTATTGTTTTTCAAGTACAGTTGTCTCCATTTTCCCTCTTCCACTCCCTGGTGCCCACCCATCCACGTCTCCCACCCTCGATCCTATCTCCTTTGACTTTGTCCATGTGTCCTTCATACATGTTCCTTGATGGCCCTTCCCCTATTATCCCTCTTCCCCTCCCCTCTGGTTACTGCCAGTTTGTGCTTCCAACACTTGGCTACTGTAAATTGTGCTGCTCTGAACATTGGAGCACCTCAAGGTTCTTTTGGATTGGTGTTTCAGGGTTCTTATTCCCAGCAGTGGAATTGCCAGGTCAAAAGGCCATTCCGTTTTTAGTTTTCTGAGGAAACTCCATACTGTTTTCCACAGTAGCTGCACCAGTCTGCATTCCCACCGACAGTGCACTAGGGTTCCTCTTTCTCCACAGCCTCTCCAACACTTGTTGTTTGTTGATTTATTGATGGTAGCCATTTTGACAGGTGTGAGGTAGTATCTCATAGTGGTTTTACTTATTTTTATTTATTTTTTAAATTTTTAAAAATTATTTTCATTTTTTTAAGATTTTAATTTATTTATCTTTAGAGGGGAAGGAAAGGAGAGAGGGAGAGAAATATCAATGTATGGTTGCCTCTCATGGGTCCCCTGCTGGGAACTGGCCCGCAACCCAGGCATGTGCCCCAACTGGGAATTGAACCGATGAAATGACCCTTTGCTTAGCAGGGCTGCACTCAATCCACTGAGCTACACCAGCCAGGGCTACCTCTGTCTTTTGATTAGAGCATTTGATCCATTTACACTTTTAATTACTGATAAGGAGGGACTTCTGCCATTTGCTATTTGTGTTCTATATGTGATATAGATTTTTGTCCCCTTTCTTCATGTTTAGTTGATTTTTATAGTGAAATATTTTTTTTACTCCCTTCTCATTTTCATATGTGTATAGTCTATAGATATTTTCTTTGTGGTTATATTGGGGGTTACATTTACCATTCTAAAGCTATAACAATCCACTTTGAACTTATACCAGCAGAACATCAACTATATACAAAAACTTCACATCTCCATTCCCCCATTTTAGGTCATGGATGTCAGATTACATGCTTATAGATTCTGTGCCCAATAACATACATTATTAATGTTATGCACATGTCTGTCATATTATGTAAATAAAAAGTGGAGTTACAAACAATATTAAAATAACACTAGTTCTTACAATTCCCCATTTATTTACCTAGGTACCTTTACCTTTATTTCTTCAAATGGCTTTAAGTGGTAGCTCTTGGCTTCCTTTCATTTGAACCTGAAGAACTGCTTTTAGCATTTTATGTAGGGCAGTTCTAATGGTAATAAACTCCTTCAGAGTTTTTTGTAGGGGAGTGTGGGATGTCTTCATTTCACCTCCTTTGAACACATACACAACGGTTTTGGTGTATATAGATTTCTTGGTTCACAAGTTCCCCTTGCCCTCAGCACTTTGATTATATCAACACACTGCCTCTAGCCTCCAAAGTTTCTGATTAGAAACTGGTTGATAATCCTATTGGGGGTTCATTGTATGGAACCAATTACTTCTTCCTTGTTGCTTTCAAGATTTTATCTTCGGCTTTGGCTTTCAACAGTGTGATTATAATGTGTCTTGTTGATATTTTTTGGTTTATACTACTTGAGTTTATTGAGTTTATTAAATTTGTAGGTTCATGCATTGAATCAAAATTGGGAAGTTTTCAGGCATTATTTCTTCAAATATTCTAGTTTCCTTCTTTTCTCTTTCCTTCTGTGTAGAATAATGTGTATGTTCATCCACTTGATGATGTTCCACAGATCCCTGAAGTTGTTTTCTTTTTACCTTTTTTTTGTTTGTTTCTCAGACTTGATCATTTCAATTATCCTGTGTACAAGTTTGCTGATTCTTTTTCTTGCTTGCTCAATTACGGTTTTGAACCACTACAGTGAATGTCAGTGGTTTTTCATGTCAGTTCCTATACTTTTTCCCTTTAAAAATACTTAATGGGGTTAACTTTTATAATTTCTATTTCTGTACTCATATTCTTACTTTGTTCATACAATTTTCCTGTTTTGTGCACATCTTCCTTTAGCTTTTTGAGATGCTTTAGTTGGTAGAGGTTAGAAAAATGGTGGCCAACTTCCAAGCCATATATCCTCACTGTTCAGAGCATCAATGTGAGACCAGAGCTCAGAAATGCAATATTTGAAAGGTAAATTCCTTATGAAACCATGGCTCCAGTGAAACTGCTCCAGACATTCAGGTTGGTGTCCATGGCTGCCTACATGGAGCTGGCCAGTAGGAGCTAGGAAGCCACCAGTGGGCTGATGGCTGTATTTCACTGAACTGAATTGCAATGTACCAGCCAAGCTCTCCTCTGGAAGTTGCAAGTGTTCAAATAAACTCTAGAAGTCCAAAACGGTCACTTCAGTTGCTCCCAGAACAACTGTTGTATGGATGAAGAGCTGAATTCCTGGTGCTGCCTCCTCTACCACCTTCCCTTTACTGTAAAATTTCTAACATATTGTATGTGAATTAATATTTCAGATTTATTAAGAGATGGCTTTGGAGACCGTCCCCTTTTCTACTGCCTGATTGCGGAAGTATTCAGTAAACAAACACCATCAGGTAAAATAAACCTTCCTCCTCCAATTTAATCTGGCATACATTTTGTCTACCCTGGAAACAAAATACAGTTTGATAGAATATAATTACTATTCAGCAGAAGAGAGGTGTGTAAATACATAAACTCAAGGTTTTGTTTTTTTTTAAAGAAAATGTATGGTGTGTACTTATATGTTTGTGTATTCCTAGAAAATTTTTGGAAGAATATATTCCACACTGTTAAAAGATGGCTTATCTCTTCAAGTTTGTACTCTAAGGGACTTAAACGTTCTACATGATGCATTTCTGTATTGTTTGAAATTTTGTCCAGTGAACTTTTATTATTTTAATAGTTTAAAAACACACACAAAGATAGTTCCTCTTGGAGGAAGGAACATTCTAAGTCCAAAGCATTAACCTCTTTGTACCCACTCTTCCCTCTTCCTAGGCCAAGGCACTGCTGGATTTACCATGTACTACATTACATATGATGCCTGGACTGGCAAGTTACTTTACATAGAGGACTTCTTTGTCACACTACCTTTCCGAGGTCAAGCTACACTTATTATTTTATGGATTAAAATGGTGTGTTTTAATTTAAGGAGTAAAGATGGGGCTTTAGCCCTGGCTGGTATAGCTCAGGGGCTGGGAACGTGGCCTGGGAGCGTGGGAGCGCAGTTCAATTCCCAGTCAGGGCACATGCCTGGGTTGCAGGCCAGTTCCCAGTAGGGGACACACGAGAGGCAACCATACATTGATATTTCTCTCCCTCTCTCCTTCCCTTCCCCTCTAAAGATAAATAAATAAAATCTTTTTTTTTAAAGATGGGGCTTTAGTATAAGTAGGACATTTAAGTTAGTGTATGGAATGTGCTTCTATTTCATGAGCCTGATCCCTCTCCTGGTTACCCTTGCATAAAGTGAAGACACAATCAGATTAGAAGAGTATTTCATTAGTTTCCATGCAGATTTTAATAAGCCAAGTTTTAATAGCTTTACTTTTACCTTTACAAAAATGCTTTCACATTTGGAGTTGGTTTCTCTAGAAAAGAATAAAAAAATACTCTGTGATTAGATGTTAGTGACAGGACTCATTTCCTCTTCATGGATCATTACGATAAATTAAAAATCCTTTTTATTACCTTTGGAACTAAATTTCAGTTAGGAAAAAGAGATATGAAAAACATTCAAGAGTAGTTACAACATAAGTTATTAAGACTATATAGCAGGATACTGGGGTTTCACATTTTATTGTTTTAAACTGAAACAATAACATGTTAAATGGAATTTTCTCATTTTACATTATATCTTTAAAAGGCCTAGGTATTGGAACTGCAATGCTGAAAAGCCTTAGTCAGGTATGTATTAAAATTAATATTCATATTTTATATGTTATCTTTATTTTATCGAGTATTATTATTTTATAGGGCCTAAATTAGATAATTTATCTCATCATTTGAATATAACCTGAAAATACACTTAAATCTTGTATTATATTGAACTGAATTTTCAACCCTAGCTGATGTGGCTCAGTGGATTGAGTGCCAGCCTGTGAATCACACGGTTGCCAGTTCAATTCCCAGTCAGGGCACATGCCTGAGTTGCAGTAGAGGGTGTGTGAGAGGCAACCACACACTGATGTTTCTCTCCCTCTCTTTCTCCCTCCCTTACCCTCTCTCTAAAAATAAATAACTAAATCTTTAAAAAAACAATTTTCAACTCAGATACTTATACAAATGATATTTGAGTTATATTTAATTAAACATTTATTTCTGTATAAACCACAACCACATTATACAGCTTTTTTTTTTGTCATAAAGAGGAAATAAGCAAAAGGCAGGTTAGGTGATTTTATCGATAAAATAGGTCTACCATATGAATATAAGAATAGTATAAAAGCAACATCCTTTTGTACTTTGAAAATATAATTTTAACTGTAACAGCATAATCAATAAAAAATTAAAAAAAAAGAAAATATAAATTTAGGTAAACTTTCCCTATAGACTAAAGGAAAAACAGTGCAATTGTATTCATAAAAGAACCAATGAGAGGACTTTGCAAATCCACTTTGGACTTTAAAAGGGTGTCTTAAAGCTAAACAGTAGGACTGTGTACGGAACTTCAGTAAAATAAATATGTTAATGAAGACTATGCTTTCAAGTAAAAGTAGTCTCTGTTTTTAAACAGATAGCCCTCAGAAACGAATGTAGCTGCATGCACTTCCGTGCTGTCATCGGGAAAGAGGCTTCTACTGACTCTCACACTCCTCATGGAGCTGCAGGCCTTTTCTCCAGGGAGGGCCGGTACCTGTTCAGGATTAACAAAGAAAAACTCCTGTACCTGGCAGGGGAACAGTGAAGAGCCCTCATCACAGCTTGTCCCAACATCTCAATGTCTCCTGACTCTAAGAGCAGGTTGACTTTGAGTGTTGTACAATAAAGCAAGTGACTCAACTTTGGTTTGTATGAGTCTTTTACTTTGAAACAGATTTTGCAGATAGAGTCATCTCTCCATTATCCAAACTGACATGCTAATGGCACAGCTGACGATCCAAAAGAGCGCATAATGCAAACATCACTTCCACTTGGCTTTAGGATATTGATTTTTTACCTACCATAATCTCGCTAAATGTAAGATGCTTATATTTTGACATTTTAACATATCTGAAATTGAGATATTTCTAACAACTGGCAGCATGTTTTTCTTAGAGGTAAATAATGTGTCTTAGATTTGATGAATACGAATGTGCTTGATTATAAATAAATGTGAGGGACAAAAATCATTTAAAATAATGTTGCTAAATTTTAAAGAGCTCGCTTAGGAAAAACTAATAAGTGCTTCCCCACTTTGAGATACTCAAGTAGCACCACCTCTGTGACATCAGATTCACTGCAAAACTACATTTCATCTTTGAGCTCTATAGTTCTTTGCTTCTACTTAGGGTAGATGATACATAAATTGCTGTATTTGTATATGTTCCCATCCTTTCTAGAATATAAGCCCTTTGATAGAATTCTAATTATTTTTGCACCCTGTCTTATAACCAGCATGATAGAATATGTGAGTTTGTACTATGTACCAGGGTATGTTATGGGCATAAAAGCTACACAAAGATGACTCAGTCATACCCACTAGTAGGTATCAAGTGGTGCCCTACTGTAAAAAAAATACTAGTTTTAGTTTTATAATAAATTGTATGGACTATCACAGCTATAAGTCCCAAGTGTCTGAGAATGTAGAAGAGACAGCATCTGAATTCAAAAGAGTGACACTGGAATTGGGACTGAAGGAAAAGGAAGGTGGACTATGGAACAGGATGAGACAGAAAAAGATTCTAAGAGAAGATCCCAGCATAGGCAGAGAGGGGAATAGAAGAACAAAGCACATTCAAGAAGCAAGTGGTGTGTATTAAAGATAAAATATGCCCTGGCTAGTGTAGCTCAGTGGATTGAGCGCGGGCCTGTGAACCAAAGGATCACAGTTCGATTCCCAGTCAGGGCATATGCCTGGGTTGTAGGCTGCTTCCCTGAAGGCCAGTTCCCAGCAGGGGATGCAGGAGAGGCAACCATACATTGATGTTTCTCTCCCTCTCTCCTTTCCTTCCCTTCCCCCTCTAAAGATGAATAAAATCTTTTTTTAAAAGGTTTTAAAAAGATAAAATATAACATACATTGGCAGTAGGGTGCAGGGGAGAAGATAGGATTAAATTCTAGCTGGTTATCATACATGAAGGACCTTGTCTACAGGCTAAGGAGTCTTTGGTTCTGTAGGCAATGGTGAACAACTGAAGATTTCAGAAAGATAATTTATGCCTATAGACAACTACAGCAAAATAATATGGCACACAGGTTAGAGCACAGGTGGCAAACACAAGGCCCATGGGTCGAATCCAGCCCTCCACCTTGTTTTATCCGGCCTGGCACCTTATTTCTACCCAGCAGCAGCACCGAGCTCTCACTTAACTGTTCAGGAGTAGTTACATTTACACAGTGCCGACATTACATTCAGCCCTTTGAAGGCAACCACAAGACTGATGTGGCCCCCGGTGAAGATGAGTTTGACACCCCTGGGTTAGAAGAATAGGGTAGCAGACACTGCATGTTAGCTCAAATTCAGTAGTCATTCTAAATCCCTTACCACTTGCCTTCCTTATCATAGAAAACATATGATTTGCCAATCTCCCTTGAGCTGCCTGTGGCTATATAAGCTCTAGTCAAGATATACATAGATGACTTCTGAGAGAGGTTCTAAGAAAGCACTTAGTTTTCTAATAAATGGGGGTTGGAAGCATCTGGTACACATTTTGTGCTAATTCTTCTTACTTTGAGTGTGCATGTGTTCTCCAGAAGTGCAGTAGCCATTTTGTGAATACAGGGTAACAAATTAACATGCTAAAGACCAGAGTGGAGCCCTGGCTGGAGTGGCTCAGTGGATTGAGCATGGGCCTGTGAACCAAAGGGTTGTTAGTTCGATTCCCAGTCAGGACACATGCCTGGGTTGTGGGCCAGTTCCCCAGTAGGGGGCACACAAGAGGCAAACCCACATGGATGTTTCTCGCCCCCTTCTTGTTTCTCTAAAAATAAATAAATAAAATCTTGAAACAAATAAAAATAAATAAATAAAATCTTTAAAGAAGACAAACACACCAGAGCGGAGAGAAATGTCTAGGGGCTTCATGGCACCAATGAGATGCAGTCCCAACACTGCACGGCCCAACTGCAGGCTTGAAACAGGCTCTTATTCATTTAACCTGCTACTAACTGACTTACTGTTACTTGCAAGAAGGCATTCTGAAGTGACGGAGAGCGAGATTTAGAGCAAGCAGATTAACTGGAAGGTTGCTGTAGTAATAATTCAGGAAAGTGATTAAAACTTGAATGAGGGCAAGAAGAGAAGGTAGAACAGATATGAGGAACTTAAGGAGAGAGAGGTAGAGACAACTTACTTTGAGGCATATTGACATTGGGGCTATGTATGGGATCTACTATGGATATAACTAATAAATAACCAGAAAGAAAGCTCTACAGCTCTGGAGAAATATGGGAGCTGGACATATAAGTAATAAGGACATAGAAATGTTGCCTGCAGCCAGTGAACTATGTTAAAGGAAAACAAAAGGGCATACTGAGTGAGGAGAAAAGACTAGGGATAGAACCTGAGTAGCCTCAGCGTGTAAGGGTTTAGAGCAAGAGAAGCAGGAATAACAGAGAACAAAGGAGGAGTGCATTGCAAGGAGGGAGCGGCCAATAGTGAATCACTGCAGGGAATTCAAGTACATACAAAAGCCAGGGTGTCACAAGTCAGGAATTGAAAGTGAGGAAGATAGTGGCATTCACTACTTTTTTATGCAACATGACAATTATAGCATAAAGAAAAGGTAGCTGAGAGGAAGAGGCAGGCTTAGGGAAAGGTTTTTGTTATTGCTGTTTTTAGATAAAGATCAGAAGTTAATTAGACATTGAAGAAAGGGAATGAGTGAAAAGAAAAACCAAGGATTGGAGGTACGCTACGGTGCTGGACAACATGGAAGGAAAGGGAGCTGCAAACCAAACAGAAGCACTGGCCTCGGAAAAGGGGGTGGCTGAAAAGACGCAAGTCTTGAAGGCAGATGTGCAGAAGCTGTGAATGGTTACAACTGATAGTTGATGTTTTTTCTCTAAGTAACAGGAGGCACAATCATCTTCGGCTGATATAGGAGGCCTGAGACTGAAAGGAAACCACCCAGGAACCGGTCTAAGCCCCGGTCTCAACAGCACTAGAGGTCCCATGGAGCATATGGTCCCCTGAAAGTTACAGGTGTTTCTGGACATTTAAGAGGAGTCAATATTAATAAAACAAAGAGACAAAGTCAACCCCAAGTGTCATAAAATATGTATAGTTTATTCCAGCTCTGGGAAATGAAAAAATAGAAGGACAGGGAACATGTCCTTTCACACACCATTCTAATTTAGCTGGCATTCATTAGAAAAAGCTAAAGCAAATATATATGTGTATATGGATTTATATATACACATACATATTTTTTTCAGGTTTCAGTATCATAAGTATTCACATATTTACTCTATTTTTTATAAACACCCTTAAAATTCATCAAATGCATCCTAATAGTACTACTTCTGCCTCTTCACCAATCATTTCATATTGTTTGGGCTGCATTTCCTGTTTGTATTTAATCATTTCTGTGATTGGTCAACCTATACATTAGAAAGTGTGAAGAATAAATTTGCTTTAAAGTGATGCTTTATGTGTCAATTACCCACAACATGATTTTTTTCATTATTATTTGGAACTTCACACATCTGTAGTTCTCTGTGTAGACTGCTTCAGCTTCTAGTGCTGTACATATCTGCATCTTCTGGATGGGACTGCCCGTGATCCATGAGCTTGGGGTCAGGCACAGGGTGTGTAGCACCTGATAAAGTATTGAAACAAAACAAAAAATTAGTCGCTCATTTAAAAAACTGATCACAGGTACTAGGAATACGGCAGTAAAAATCATCAAAAATCTCTGCTAACATGGACATAACATTCAAGGTGGGTGAGAAAGAAAATAAGTGAAAGAAATAATATATCACATAGTGGTAAGTGCTGCGCAGAAAAATAAAACTGGGAAGGGCATATGGAGTGCTGGGGTGATCTGTGATGTTAAATGGCGGGGGGGGGCAGGGAAAGCCTTCTAGAAAAATGACAATTGAAGCACATGAAGGTGTCAACCCTGTAGATAGCTCAGGGAAATGCCTTCGAGGAGAAGACAGCAAATGTAATAGACCTGGGGCATGTTTGAGGAGCCACGAAATGGCCAGTATGGCTGGAAAGAGACTCAGCGAGATGTGGTGGGGGTGGGTGCAGTGAGGGTGGTAGGACATGTGGTCAGAAAACAATGGGATGCTGGGCCACAGAGGCCATAATAATGTTTCTCTTTTTTATTTTAAGTGAGAAGAGAAGGCTACTAGGTAGTTTTCAGGAGAGGAGTGACACAACGTGTGTTTTAAAAGACAACTCCTGGCTATGGGGAGAAGACTGTAAGGGGACAAGAGTGAAAGTGGTGAGGCTTTAATTAGGGCAGTAGCAGGGGATGTGGTGAGAAGGGACTGGATTATGGATAAATTCCAAAGGTAGAAAGGACAGAATTTCCTAAATGGATTGGATATGTTTTGTGAGATTCTTTAACTTGAGAAACTGCAAGAATGGAGTTGACATTTACTGAGATAGGGAAAAATGTGATAGAAGCAAATTTGGGGGAAGGCAAATGAAGTGTTAAATTTTAATGTTAAGTGTTAAGAAATAGACATCTGAGCACAAATATTGAATAAGCAACTAGCAATGGGAATCTGTAGACTTCAGGAGAGACCTGGGCCAGTTTATAAATTTTACAGTCTTAACCTACATACGGCATTTCAAACTATGGGGACTACATGAGAACATCTAGGGCCTCAGAGAAGAGGTCTAAGGACTGAACCCATTAGATACTCCAATTTTTTGAAGTTAAGAAAATTAGGAGATTGTAGCAGAGAAGATTGGAAGTGAAGAGCCAGTCCGTGAAGTAAGTGAACCAAGAACAAGTGGTATCCCAAAGGCCAAGTGAAGAGACTGAGGCAAGGAGGAGGGAATAATCACCTGCGTTAAAAGCTATGGACAGACAGATTGCATGAGGTGGACAATGACAAAGGATTCCTGGATTTAGCAACATGTGCATCACGGGTAATCTTCATAAACTGTGTGCCAGGCAAGATGCTATGTTATTTTCATGCATTACCTCAGAATACCACCCTGAGATAGATGATGCTCTTTATCCTTATTTTATCAATAGGAACATTTTAATTTAGAGAGGATTAGAAACTGCCAATGTCACTCAGCTGATAAGCAGTGGAACCAGGAATCAGTAAAATGGGGGTTAGGGTGGTAACAGTGCCATATAATTATGTTTAGTATTCAGTATAATAATGTGTACAAAGTTCTGCATAATAGGCAAAACCAACTATTTTTATATTTGCTTTGTGACATTAGAAAAATATTTTTCAGAAATTTATTTTTATTTTAATTATGTTTTTCAAAATCAGACCCTTTTAAAATGATTTTGTTACTTTTAGGAAACACACCTTTTTCTACAGAAAAATTTAATTTCCAGTTTTATGATGAAAACAAAGAGGAGAAATAGATTTATAATTATTTATTTGACACCTATCATTTCCCAAACATTTTATATTTTATAAAGTGTGATGAACCTATATGTAACATAACCAGCAAACATATTAAAAACAACCAGATCATTAGTAATCACTACCCATGGAAGTAATATACCTTTCCACAGGATACAGATGTTTAGTTTTAGGGGGTCTGCAGATAGAATTCATATGATTTATGAAATTGCATGGGAGAAATTATCTTTGTTTTCATTCACCTCTGACTAAAAATACACATTTCCTTCAATAATGACTGCAGGAAACAAATCACAATAGTATTAACAGCACCTTAGGTTTTTTTCATGAATAGAGATCACAGGTATTTTTGTATTACACTGCAGCTGCAGTTATCTTGAAATACTTGCACTTACCACTACTTCAAAGCTATGGCCTAAATTAGATCTTTTGTTAGATAGTTTAGTTTAAAACATTGAAGGAAGCTCATATATTACTACGTATTTTATTTTATGCATTTAAGAACATTGTTATCCCCCTGGCTGGTGTGGCTTAGCAGAATGAGCACCGGCCTGTGAATGAAAGGGTCAGCCATTTGATTCCCAGTCAGGGCACATGTCTGGTTTGCAGGCTAGGTCCCCAGGAGAGAGCATGTGAGAAGCAACCAACCACACATGGATGTTTCTCTCCTTCTCTTTCTCTCTCCCTTCCACTCTCTAAAAATTAATACGTAAACTCTTTAAAAAATAAATAAAAACACTGTTCTGAGCAGGGGTCCATAGACAAAAAGGTGCAGTGATTCTGCTTGCTCCTTTCTCAAATGTATCTTTACTGCCACCTTGTGGTAGCCTTTGTTCAGTGCAAGTGAAAAGTGTACTGAGGTTTTCTTTCTCAGACATACTGTAAGAACTTTAACATATAGATAACTTGCGGGTCTGCTGTTATTATTTTTTAATGCTTTGATTGTCAGACACATCTTCCTGCCTCTGTACATGACTGATACTTTGTTTGTTTGCATGGCGGATGCTGTATAAAAGAATAGTAGAAGCTGCACATGATAATCTTCTACCTGTCAGGGAACCCTTTCCCTATTTGAGGAAGGGTGAAGGGCTTATCATCTCAATAGGATCAGGCATTAAACTGAGTTGCAGTTTCAGTAACTCAGCCAACTGATTCCTCTCTGTTCCTCAGGGATGGCACTCCCAAGCTGTATCACAGCCTGCAAAGTTTCCATCTCGATTGCACAAAAAATAGGTAGAATATTTGGTTTTTGCCCCTCAGAGATTTCAACATTGCTATTTAGTCTCTTGATCTATAAAAAAGTGGCAAATATCATAAGGAGGGAGATGAGTAATGTATTGTTGGCACAGTTCACCCTCTAAATGAGGAATAAGCAAACAATTTTCTACAAAGGACCAACCACAGTCACAATTTCCGACTTTGTAAACCAGAGGGTGTCCACTGCACCACTCAACTCTGCCTTCGCGGTGTGAAAGCAGCCAGATAACACATAAATGGACAAGTGTGGCTGTGTTCCAATACAATTTTATTTGTGTACACTGAGGTTTGAATGTCACAGAATTTTCACTTGGCAAGAAATATTTTTCTTTTCACTTTTTCAACCATTTAAATCATGTTAAAATGATTTTTGGTTTGTGGAGTGTACAAAAATAGGCAGTGAGCCATATTTGGCACAAGGGCCATTCTCCCAACCTGTGCTTCTGAGGGATACTAATCCTGGGAGACCATGACGGATTTCACCCTGCTTTCATCAGGTTTGGAAGAGGTCCATGTCACCAATTTTCCAAATTTTTGATTTCCAAAATAACATAATTTTTACATGTATGTGGGTGATAGAAAAAACAAACAAACTCATATCCAGAGCCATGAAATGTATAGCGAGAGCATTCACCTGATCTATCCTGTCAGGTGATCAGTAGTGTGGCCATGGTTAGGGCCTTATGGATGAAGAGACTGAGGCCTGAGGATTTCTGATCTGTGTATTATTCTAAATTTTGTGCTCATAAGCACTACTGTTCCTCAGGTTGTGGACCTTTGGGACTACAAGTGAAAGGCAGAAAGGTGGAGATGGTCGATCCCAAACGTCTACTGTATAATCTGTTCTGAGTGATATGTGATGAGGGTGAATGGTAGTGGCATGTCTTTTTCCTCTACATGTCTCCTTACGCTTTTCAGATACCATATTACCCATGACAGGCAGGCCCAGGGTTCCAGAATGTCAATATATTTTTAAAAACTGCAGTCATTGGCTACAGATGCATTGGTCCCACTGCTAAACTGTCACACATTTTATCTCCACAAAGATACTCTGGAATTGAAAAGCATTTAGAAAAGTGACTGGATATATTACATACTTTTCAGAATATGGTCAACTGCGCATTACTCAGAGTGTAAAAATTGTATAATTTATATTAATGAAAAAGGAGAGGTGGTGAGGTATAGAGGAAAAGAATAAAACTCAAATCGGGTTTGTAACTCACTGGTGACAGTTTTTATGAAGATTACAACATACAGATGCTGTATTCTACAACTGTACACCTGAAACCTGTATAATTTTATTAACCAATGTCACCCCAATGAATTCAATAAAAATAAATTTTAAAAAATCAACAAAAGAGGAGGAGGCTGAAATTAGAGACTAAAACTCTGGTTTTAAGTTAGCTACTGTGTGCACAAAGGAAAGAGCTTGGGCTTTGGTACCCAGAAGATCTAGGCTGGAAACACACCTCTCATAAGCTGTATGGTTTTGGGCAACATACTTAAGTTTCCTGAGTCTTGGTCTCTTTATCATAAAGTTATAATTATATATACACGTCAAAGTTTTTTTTTCTTTTTGGGTGGGGGGGCTCAATAAAGGGCATCTGAATAATGAGATATTATCATTATTTCCTAATTCTTTTTTGTACAGATTTTATTTATTTATTTTTAGAGAGAGGGGAAGGGAGTGAAAAAGAGAGGGAGAGAAACATCCATGTGTGGTTGCTTCTTGTGCGCCCCCTACTGGGGACTTGGCCCACAACCCAGCCATGTGCCCTGACTGGGAATGGAACAAGTGACCCTTTGGTTCACAGGCCAGCACTTAATCCACTGAGCCACACCAGCCAGGGCTATTTCCTAATTCTTTACCTCTGAGTTGGTCCCATTTCCCTTGCAGTAATATGACTTAATGGCAGTACCATTAACACTGTACAGATAAACAAACCTATGTAAGGCAGCGATCGGGGATTTTATGTGAATACATATTGAAATGGTATTAAACACTCTGTCACCTTCTTATTGATCACAGTAAAACCACTGCAGTATTTGTCTACAAGGCATGATTATCATTCATTGCTCCCCAAAAGTACTGATTGCTATTATCTTACAAGAGCAAAGTTCTTAGTATTATAATTGTTGCTATTTTTACTATTTGACATTGAAAGTTCTCCCAGTATCTAAACTAAACAAAACTGATGGTGGAAGCCAAAACTGATAGGGGTAAAAAGCATGAGGAATGGAAGCTGCTATCTCTTCCATGTAGATGTGACTCATATTTATAGCCTATAAATTGACAGAATGCAGAAAAGCACATTTTCCTCACATTTATAAAGTCATATTGAGTCCTTCACTCACCCAGCTAGCCAGTGCTACTCTATACTCCCAAATGCAAAGATCTCTATTGTGAACGATGTCGAATTAGGAAAGTCCCAGGTACCTGAATACCTCACAACCTAAACATATATACAAACCACAGATGTGAGAAAGAAAAATGTATGAAAACAATACATAAATAAGTTTAAACTAGTAATATTATGAAATTTTTAAAGGAAGAATGAAAATGAAATTGAAGTATCCAAACAAACCTGAGACGGATTCTGATTTGGTCTTCATTTTAGATTGTTCTGTTGGCGAAGCCAATGAGTGTTTCAGGTCGTCAGCTGTCTTTGCAGGCATTTCTATTTCAGCAGGGCTTCCTAGCTATTTACCAGGAAAGATTTTTCCTTCATAAATAATTTTACTACAAGAATAAAATATCTTATAAAATTATAGCATGCAAAGGTATTATGTCCCTTTATCTTTTTCCTTTTGTTCTTGTAACCCCCATTTAAGCCAACACCCACCCAAACAAAATATTTACTCTTTTAGTCCATTTAAACTCAACCTTAGTTTTTTCTTTAGGTTTGGGGAGTGAGTCCTTTTTGTTGTTTTTCGTCCACAATGATTTAACTGCTTCATAAATTTGCTGGCTTGTCGCATATGCCTTTTTTCCGGTTACCTAATTTAAAAAAAAAGTTCAAAACTTACGTTAGGTATTTTATGTTAACATTCAAGTCAGAATCAATAGTAAAGAAGTGAATTTCTAGATGATGTAACACAAAGCCCCATTTTCTAAATCTTATTTGAAATATTAATAGCCTCGCATAAAAGGCTAAAAAAAGTGTAGTTGGTACAATGCCAAGAATACGCCCTAATGCAAACCATGAACTCTGGGTGATAATGACATGTCAGTGTAGGTTCATCTATTGTAACAACTGTTGTGAACCAAAAACTGCTCTAAATTTTTAAAAAGTCTTAAAATTGTATAATTAGCATTCACACCATGAATTCAAAACTACATCATTTAAGAGGAGTTTGAGAAAGATAGATGACTGAGAAAACAAGACTAAGATGCCACAAAGCGAATGCTTCTGCTTAAAGTTTTATGTTGCTTTCCCCAATTATAAGGAAAAAAAAATCAATGTATTTCTATAGGAAGTAATACTCTCTTTTTTGTAGAAAAAATAAAAATGAACCGTAGTGACTGTTAAAGCAGAGACTAGGTTGCTGAATTCCTGCAGCCACTGTTAAACTTGCATTCATATCTCTTCCTGTTTCAAAATCTTCTGATTTCTTCTTTCTATTCTTCTCTCTCCTTCTGTGCAGCTCTAGAGCAGGGGCCATTCTCCCTTGCACAGCCCTCCCTTGACACGGCCAAATCTTGGTCTCTGTGGGCCTGACAAACTCTGGTGGCCTCACTGACAACCCTCCGAGATCCTACCCCACCACAGAGGTCTTTGGGCACTAGGTGGGTGGCAACCAGAGTTGGGGTACCCTGGGACTTCTACTGAGTGGTGTCAGACCAAGCACTGAAACAGATTTTGGACCAGTATCAAACTGGTGGACATTACTCGCTCCTACCTAGTGACTCAGGTTGGTCTTCCAATGAACATCTGGGTCCAACAGGGGCAGCTAAAAACAGTGGACTACTTTGTAGGTCCAAAGAGGTTGCTCAGGGCCAGACACAGACAGCATCTGACACTGGTCTGCACCAGACCCTTCCCAAGAGGCCCCCAAAACCAACACACCCTGTGGCAAACTTCAGATAACATCAGAGCAGGATCCAATTAGCCTCATGTGTGGCACATCCAAAAGGAGATCTAGGCAGGCACCAGACCCTGCAGAAGCTAATTCTGTTTCATGTGGTCAGCACCTGCACAGCAGCTCATACAGGGTGGTCAAGGTCAACCCTCACAGTCAGCCAGCCTGACAGTCTATTCCACACATGAATGAGCCAACAGCAATAATAGGAGGGCTGACATAATCCATACAAGGGACATTGTTTAATCATCCGGCTCAGGCAGTCAGGACAATGTGCCCCTAGGTCCCACAGGACACCTACCACATAAGGCCACCTTGCCATGACTGAGAGTCATAGCAGATCTACCTAATACAGAGAGACAAACACAAAGAGGCACCCAAAATGGGGAGACAAAAAAACATGCCTCAAATGAATGAACAGACGAAAACTCCAGAAAGAGAGCTAAATGAAATAGAGGCAAGCAGTTTAACAGAAACAGACCTCAAAAAATGTTTGTAATGATGTTCAAAGAACTTAGAACTTCAACAGCTTGAAAAAAAAACCATAGAAACCATAAAAAACTAGTTAAAAATGGAGCATGCAATGTCTGAAATAAAGAATACACTAGACAGATTAAAAGTAGGTTGGATGAAGCAGAGGATCAAATCAGTGATTTGAAAGACAAGTTAGTATAAAACACCCAATCAGAGCAGCAAAAAGAAAAAAATTACAAAGTGAGGATTGTTTAAGGGACCTTTGGGACATGAAGTGTAACACCAACTGCAACATAGGGTCACAAGAAGAAAAAAAGGCAGCAAGGGGTTAAGAACACACACTGGAAGAAAATAGTAACTGAAAACTTCCCTAACGTGGTGAAGGAAAAAGTCACACAAATTCAGGAAGCACAGTCGAGGACAATGCAATAAGTGCAGCATAAATAAAAGATGGGCACAAACACTTCAAAGATGGTGGAGAATCTGTTGAAAGTGATCCACATTCTGGAAATCCTGTAACAAGCAGAACACCTGAGAATGCTGAACATGTGCAGACTGCAATCAACAAAGATCAATGACCGATGGTGTGAGAACTAGAAGCTGATCTGGGGATTCTAAAAATGGCTGTGTCTGAGATTGTTGACACAGGATCTTGGCATGAAACATGTGGTGGCAAAACTGGTTTGGTGGCTTCTGCTACCAGAACAGAAGGAACATCACACTGCAGTTGCTAATAACTTGATTCAAACTGCTGACAATGAACCAGATCGCCTGAAGAAGGTCATAACGGGAGATGAATTGTGGGTCTATGGCTGTGATCTGGAAATGAAGGCCCAGTCGTCCCAGTGGAAGTTGCCTGGTTCTCCATACACAAAAAAGGCACAGCAAAGTCGCAGCAAGATTGAGACCACATTAACTGTGTTTTTTGGATTGGGAAGGTGTTGTCCATCATAAGTCACCCCTCCAGGCCAAAACTTAATTAAGATGTGTTAATTAAGGTGTGTTAAGTCAGTCTCAACTGACTACCTCAATGTTCTTAGTCAGTTGAGAGATGCAATATGACAAAAACAGCCACAGCTATGGGCAACTGGTGATTGGCAGCTTCATCATGACAAAGCCCCTGCTCATGTATCACATCTTGTGTAGAGTTTTTTTTTTTTTGGTGAAACAATCAAATCACCCAGGTGACTCAGCCCCACTACAGCCCAGATTTGGCACTCTGTGACTTTCAGCTTTTCCCAAAACTAAAATAACCTTTGACAAGGGAAGAGATTTCACACCATCCATGAGATGCAGGAAAATATGACAGGGCAATTGCAAAAACTGTGTGAGGTCCCAAAGTGCCTACTTTGAAGGGGATGGAAGTGTCTGTGTCCTGTGTACAATGTTTCTGGTGTCTTGTTCAATAAGTGCCTCTATTTTTCATATTACATTGCTGGATACTTTCTGGACAGACCTCATATGGTAAAGGTTTACGTATTTTTGCAAAAACCTAATTATTTTCAAACATTTCTGGAATAATTCATTCCTCTTTTACACATGGATCTGAAATCTCACCTTTAGCATACCCTCCTTTGCCCTACGAAGGAGGGTATGCTAAAGGTGACATTTCAGATATACAAAGACATATTTAATTTTTGTTTCTTTTAAAAAGATTTTATTTATTTATTTTGAGAGACAAGGGAAAGGAGGGAGAAAGAGAGAGAGAAAAACAACGTGTGGCTGCTTCTCACACGCTCCCTACTGGGGACCTGGCTTGCAACCGAGGCATGTGCCCTGACTGGGAATTGAACCAGTGACCCTTTGGTTCACAGGCCAGCACTCAGTCCACTAAGCCACACCAGCCAGGGCTAATACATTTGGTTTTGAATATTCTCTTTTGTCCTATTGGTCTATTTCATTGTCTGTGCTGTTAGCCTAGTATGGTTACCAAAACATAGTAGATGGATAAAAAATACTGGTTGAATGAATTTCATATTCACCCCAAATGTGGAAATGTTTTAAGAACTGTATTAAATTAAAAAATTTAGGAACCTGTGTCATATTACAACATTGAGTCATTCCATCCAGAAACAAGACATACTTCTAAATGTATTCAAGTTAAAAATATGCCCTTCAGTAAAGTTTAATAGTGTTTAAAAATAGGTCTTAAACATTATTTAAGTTTATTCATAAGTGTTTCATAGTTTTCAGAAACACATTATATATTACTCATTACATAAGTTAAAAATTAAAATATTGTGAGGAAAAATATAAAAAGCAAAGAGTAATCCCATCTTGAAGTGTATTTATAAATAGTGAATATAATCTCTTGAAAGGTATAGGGCCTTTCCTTCAGAAAAATACACATACAGTAGAAGGGCTCTCACCTGTCTTTCTTTTAAGAGACTTATCTAATTAAAGATATCTTAAGCATTTATAATACATGATGCTCACAGAATGCTGAATATTCATTGCTAGTAGATATTTTCCAATATGACCAAGTACTGTCCTTCACAAGTGATGTGACTGCTAAGAATAAGTTTTGTTTCCAAGTGTCTACATCAGTTTTACTATAATTAAATGATTTAAATGTAGAAAATAGGATGAAATATGAGTGTGGAAGAACTGTTGCTGTGTATAGGAAAATTAAGCTAAATACTTTGTAAAGAGTCAAAAGGTGTATTACTTTCCATTGTATAACTCACATAAGAGTGAATTCATATGGTTCTTGACTTTTTCTATCTAACTTATTTTGCTTAGCATGATATTCTCAAGGTCCATCCATGCTGTCACAAATGGCAGTACTTCATCTTTTCTGTGGCTGAGTAGTGTTCATTGTGTACATATACAACTTCTTTTTTATCCAATCATCTAACAAAGGACACTCGGGTTGTTCCCATGTCTTGGCCAAAGTAATTAATACTGCAATAAACACAGGGGTACATGTATTTTCACAAGTGAATAATTTTAAATTTCTCAAATAGATACCCAGAAGAGGATTTTCTGAGTCATATGGTAACTCTACTGTTAATTTTTTAGAGTAACCTGAATACTGTTTTCTATGGTGGCTGTACAATTTTCCATTCCCACCATCAGTGAATGAGGGTTCCTTTTTTTCCACAACCTTTTCAACACTTGTTAATGTTATTACTTGTCTTCTAGATAATGGCCATTCTAACAGATATGAGGTAGTGTCTCATTACAGTTTTGGTTTTCATTTCCCTAAGAGAGAGTGAGGTTGAGCATCTTTTCAAATATCTGTTGGCCATTTGTATGTGTTCTTGGGATAGGCGTCTATTGAGGTCCTCTGCCCATTTTTAATTGGATCACTTGTTTTATTTGTTGTTAAACTGTATGAGTTTTGTATATATTTTAGATATTTTTGGAGGCATTGTTTACAAATATCTTCTCACATTTGGTTAGCTGTGTTTTTGTTTTCTTGACTGTTTCCTTTGCTGTGCAGAAGCTTTGGAGTTTGATATAGTCCCATTCATTGATTCTTGCTTTTGCTTCCCTTGCCTTAGAGGTCAAATACATGGGATATAAAAGTGAAAGCAAAAAATGAATGAAGACAAACAAACAAACACTAAGAGACAGAGAACAGTGTGGTATTTATCAGAGGAAAAGAGAGTTAGGGGTTATTAAAAGGATAAAGGTCAAATGTCATGGAAGAAGAACTGACTTTGGGTGGCAAATACATAATATAAGATGATGTATTATAGAATTATACACTTGAAACCTATATAATTTTACTAAGCAATGTCACCCAATAAATCTAATTAAAAATTTTTTAAGTGAAATAACTATCAAATTAGAGACAACTAATAAACAAGATAACTGTGAAACTATAGGGGAAATAATACAAATCTGGGAGGATTCTACCTTCATTTACTTAAGTACTCATTCTACTGATTAGAAATCTAAACTGAAAATAGTAGAAGACACAGATATAGCTAACTATAAAAAAGATGCTATGGGCCCTGGCTGGTGTAGCTCAGTGGATTGAGTGCTGACCTGTGAACCAAAGGGTCACCAGTTGGATTCCCAGTCAGAGCACATACCTAGGTTGCAGGCCAGGTCCCCAGTGGGGGGCCCTTAAGAGGCAACCACCCATTGATGTTGTTCTCCCTCTTTCTATGTCCCTTCCCCTCTGTAGAAATAAATTTAAAAATCTTAAAAAAAAAGATGTGATGGATCTTCAGCTACGAGACCCATGCTCATAGAAAAGTCCCATTTCAAAAGAGAGAAAAATGAACACACATTTATGTTTTGATAAACCATATTTAGGATTAAAAAAACTTGATTTCTACTTTCATACTATTGTGGCTGTAAATGATTCATGATATTGTTCTAGTATTCTTAAATTTTTAAAGATATGTTTTGTGGCCTAATATATGATCTGTCCTGGTGAATGTTCCATGTGCACTTGAAAGGAACATGTATTCTGTTGCTTTTTCATGAAATGTTCTGTATATATTAGTTAATACCATCTTGCCACCTCACTTAATATGTTGTTTGAAGCCTATGTTTTCTTACTGATATTCTGTCTGGACAATCTATCCATTGAATAAGTGAGGTATTAAAGTCTCCTATTGTTATTTAAGTAAGTAAACAAAAATGTCCTCTTGTAACATTTTTGATTAATTGATGACTACTGATTTACTGATTCTGATAATATGAAATTAGAATGTATGTATTTTATACCTACATTTTTTCATTTGGTTTTGGGCAGGCAAGTCACATTGTCATATGTAACATTTGGTATATTCTAATATTGTATATATTCATGTCCAATATACAGGGTCTGGCAGAAGTAACACCTGCTTGAGTAGTGTTGGTAGGATCATAATACAGGTATAATAATTTATAGTTTTAATTTCCACATTTCCCCTAAAGTGTCATATGGTGTGCTTGAGTGTAATATTGTTATGTTACAGAATCACATGCTTATGACTTTGTGATAAAAATGGGCATTATTTGTGCTTATATAACATATAACATATGCATATATAATATAACATATATACACAATATTAGACTCCACCAAATATTACATATGACAATGTGACAATGTTATATGGGCATTAAAGGAAAAGTAAGGGTCCCAACTCTAGAAATGTAATGAACAATTATTATTTAACCAGAGAAGAACTTTTAGGAACTCATACCTATAACAATTTTACCATAGTAATTTTAATTTAAATATCGGCAATTGTTTTTATTTCCTTCGGTCAAAGTAAAATTGAATTTAATACCTTAAAAATTGGAAAAAAGTATTAAAACTAAATTTTAATACTTTCAATACTTTTTAATTAAAAATAAGAGGTCTAATATGTATGATCCAGTTCTTATGAAATTGTATCTGCCTAGTCAGCCACCTATTTTTTCTATCTTTATAAAGAAAATTAAAAAAAAATTTTAATTTTATTTAGTTATTTTTCAAGTACAGTTTTTTTTGTCTATTTCTCCCATCCCAGCCTCCCCCACCCCTTGAAAGAGGAAAAAATTAATATTTTTATTTTAAGAAATGAGTAGAATAGCATTCTATCAAATGTTAACACTGATATTTTTCTCAGTGGAAGATTTTCAAAGGGTTAGTTTGCTTTTCTACACATTTTTTTTGCAATGCTTTAATTATTTAAGGATGAGTAGGTATCAGTTTTATAAAAAAATATGAAGTCATTACTGTAAACTAACAAAAACAATCAGGGGCTGTTATCATGGCCAGGGGGGAGAAATGGACAGGGAAGTACGACACGTGCAGTCAAAAAGAGTGAACCTTCTGTGGGCCACAGTTCCCTTGCTGGTAAAAGAGAAAATGAGAAAGTTGAAGGTAATGAGCTCAAAGGTTTCTTGCAGCACTAATATGAAAGGAATGTAAGCAGCTAATTCCTGCATAAATTTTGGAAAACATTTAAAAAATAAAAGTATCATTTCATCAATCATCTCAAGTATAACCAGATTTCATGAATAATATTGGTTTGGTATAAGCTTTTACAATTTGATTATATTACAAGGTGCACAGGGCCCCATAAACTTGACGTTCTCAAAATACCGAATAGGCTGCTTTATCTACATCAGTATCAGAAGGGATGCCATAATAATAATAGTAAAAGGACAGAAAGTCCTTTTGGTAACATCATACACTGCTTAAAGTGTGAGGGGAAAGGCTAAATGTCAGTAATTAAGGGAAGAAGTAAAGGAAGAAAAGACTGTATATCCCAAAGCTCTCCTTCTCACTCCTAATATGCATTAAAAATAAAATAAAATACTGACAGGAGCTGTTCAAATTCCTAGGAAAATAACTGGATTTGTAGGTAAGCTCACAAGAAAAAGACAAAACTATCATATGCATTTTCATAGATAGGGTTACTTAGTTCCAGATGGTTTCAAAACTGGATTTGTGCATTTATCTTTATTTTTTTCTGCTTTCTGAAGCCTCCATTATCTTGTCTGGGTACCCACCAAGTGGCTGGTCCTTACATTATGTTAATTTGCTGAACGGAGAGCTACCAGGAGCTGGAATTCTCTATTAATGAAAAATAGAATTTTACATGGCTCCATGATACAACGGCATTTATCCCCATAAATTGTAATTCAGTCTCCCTGAACATAATGCTCAAACCAACATTTATAATGTTGAATTATAGTGAAACAAAGTCATCCTATTTATTGGTGATCATCATATGTCAGCAATGGCATAACCATGCTGAGATGCTAGTGTAATTTTGCCAATATAAGAGTTGATAACTATATGTCTCTGAAAATTAAATGTTGCAGATACCATATGACATTTAAATATTGCCACATCAAGAGTTTAAACAAATATTAAAATGTAGCTTTCACTTAGAAAAAACTTACCTTTGCAATTATTACAGACTGAACTGGGTAACAAACAGTCGCTCCTAAAGTGGCCAGTCCCAATGGATAAGCAATTTTCTTAAATCTAGAACCTAAGAAATTGAAATAAACTGTTAAATCCTTAACATATGCTACCAGAAACTTGATGCTTCTATAATTTTACTATTCTCTTTGTTCCCATTAAAGCCATCATCTTGTTAAATTACTCTTTCGGTAATAATACCAATCAAGATGCTAGCTACACGTCATTAAGGATCACAATTGAAATAATATCCATAAGTTGTCATATCCAATTTAAGAAAAATATCCTCAATCTAACATGATAATTACCTGCACAAAGGGCACTGATGATTTTTTCCTTTTTTGAAACTAGGTATTGTTTCATTTCATCAACCATGTTAAAACTTAAATGGACCTTTTTTGATTAAGTGTTTCAGAAGGTGAAAGATCCAACTAACTATAATCAGCTGAGGGCTGCGAAAAGTACAGAGGTCCTTCATGTCACTGATTTAGAATACTGAAGCAATGATTTAATAATTGCGAGAAACGTTGAGATAATCATGTGATTTCTAAGTGTCTTATCTAAGCCTGAGGGTCATTTTCAAACTTTTTCGGATGGTAAAATCCTTTTAAAAATAAATCTGAAACAGAGAATGTCAATAGGAACATCATTTATACAACTATTACCTTGAAACCACTCTGGTTGGCCTGCGGGAGGGAGGGGTGAACCCTCCTGCGCAACTTCTCCCTGTCCCTCATGCCACTTCCATGGGACCCCGGGTTCTGTACAATACTGTAAAACCCAGCACTCTAAGCCATAGCTTAGTTCCAATAGAGTGTTGGTGCAAAACAAAATGTATCTTTAAATGCTTGGACTCTTGGTTATCTTGAACTCTGTAAATATGATCTGAGCAATTAGAGGACAGAATCTCTAACCGAGGGCCAGTTACTTTTATTCTCTGGTACAATACTTACAATCCTTAATTGAAAAATGAAACAACCTACCTGACATATCAATAAAGACGAAGGTGGAAAATACGTGCCGACATTTCAAGGTCTGCAGGCTACTCTACAGGTTAGGAAAAGTAAGAACCCAGGGATATTCCTCTGTCTGGCTTCCATGTGAGTAGGGGGCTGTCTACAGTCCTGTCTACAATAGGCTGAGCGCAGAGGAAGTGTGTAGGTGCACTGCTTCAACCTCCAGTCCAGCTTTTCTTGAGAGAAAGACGGGGTTCTGTGGCATTGAATAAAAGGGTCTAGGTATATTAAAATAGGTCCTCAGTTGCTCTGCTACTCTATTCTTGCTCACAAGTATCTACACTAGTATTCTAGTATCTACAGTTTGCTTTTTTTCCCAATGTATTTTATTGATTATACAGTTTGCTTCTTGATTGTGCTAACCCACCGTCTCCTAATGCAGGTTTCCCTGACTCTGCCAAGCTCCCCTAATGCATTGCTCCTAAACTGGGACAGCCATAGTTTTACCTGATGGTTACTGTAGGTATTAAAAAGATTTACATTCATCTTCTCTTCATTTGATATGAAAGGCCAGTCTACAGTAAAATAAACTTCATTTTGGGTTCAACGGCTCTAAATGCATAAGCAGGAAAGAACTCTAGATATAGCCGCTAACTAGCTATTTTACTATTTATCATGGAACTATGGTGGCATTTCCTTCCCCTGGACCTCTATGTGTAATCTGCAGCATAGCAGGGTTAGACTAAACCAACAGCTTTCCAGCTTTTTAAACCATGACTCATATTAAAGAACAAAATTTATAATGACCTATGACCTATCTCACACACACACATTGATTTTCATTCTCTCTCTTCCCCTCCACTATTTACCCATAAGAAGTACTAAACAGTCTGATGTTTGCAATTCTCTTCTATTTTATTTTTTTAAATATTTTATTTATTTATCTTTAGAGGGGAAGGGAAGAAGAGAGGGAGAGAAATATCAATGTATGGTTGCCTCTCCCTTTGTCCCCTGCTGGGAACTGGCCTGCAACCCAGGCATGTGCCCTGACTGGGAACTAAACCGTGATCCTTTGGTTCGAAGGCCCACGCTCAATCCACTGAGCTACACCAGTCAGAGCCTATTTTATTTTTAATAAATAGACTGCTTCCTGTCTATTTTTAATAAATAGACTGCTTCCTGAGATGAACATGTTTATTTCACTATCTACCAAGTTAAGGTTTGCGGTCTGAAAAACACTGGTTGTTATTCTGGCTTTGACATTGGTTGGGAGATACTATTGTGAATGACCTAAGGAACATTGTACCTTACAAGTGGATTATCAGTTTTTCACAGAAAACTGAGTTAATATGTTTTGGCAAATTTCCTTCAAAATTTAATTTTTTGAGTCTCATTGTTACAAATGGTGATCTTGGGTTTTGATTTTTTTATTGAATAAATACTTTATAATATGTATCCAATTAGAAGTTGTTCATAGCATTAGAATAAAAGTGGGGTATAAGGAGCCATTAATATTAGTTATAAGGAGAGAGTAAGGTCTATTAGGATATGATATATATGCTAGAGTTAGAACGTTATAATATTCTTGTCATTCACATAGGTTTTGCATCTGACTACGTATAACTAAACTGATATCTGATTCCAGATTGGTTCAGAGTTGGGACTTCCCACCCTATGTAATTTAGTTTGGGGACAGCAACTGGCAACTGAGTTGGGGACAGAGGATGAATGCAAGGTGACCAAAATGGCTACTCATCAGAGAACTGCATCAGCTTAGTAAAGGCTGGACTGAGGAGAGGAAGCAGGAATGTGTGCTGAGAGGGTTTCTGTAACCTGAGGTGGAAGATGGGCAAATACAAAATGGCCTCTTTAATTCGGAGTCATAAAAATTGTTGCACACATGAAGGGTTCATTCCTTTTGTTGCCTGAGTAGTATACCTTTGTATGGATATGCCACAGTTTAGTTTGTTGTTGAAAGACACTGAGGTTGTTTTCAACTTTTGGAGATTATGAATAGAGTTGTTCTTAACATTTGTGTCCAGCTTTTTCATTTCTCTAGGATAAACCCCCAGCACTGGGATTACTGGGTCCATGGTAAGTATATGTCTTAACTTTATGACAAGCTTTTTGTCAAACTATTTTCCAGAATGACTGTACCATTTTGTTTTCCCCAGCAGTGTATGAGAATTTTAGCTCCTCTACAGTCTCAACGATACTTGCCATAGTTACCCTTTTTAATTTTAGACATTCTAATAGGTGTGTAGTGCTATCTCATTGTGTTTTTTTATTTGCATTTCTAGTAGCTAATGATATTAAACATCTTTTGAAACAGCTATATTCTTGAAACAAAAAAATTAATAAAAGTAACCGTGCTATACTATAGAACCTAAATATTTTAAGGTAGCCTATCCTAATAATATTTAGTAAAGGATTTCCTGTGAAAGTAAAAATCAGAAATATAATAGATATTTGTATCTATTTGTATAGATACAAATAGAAAAGAGGATATTTGTATGTTTAACCCCTACCTTTTCTTGCTGACAGCAAGCCTGCCAATCCAGAAACAGTAATCACTCCAATTTTCGGGAGAAAATCTCGAGGTGGATTCTTCAGATAAACATATGCATCTCAAGAAATCAGTTGAAAATGAATATAAGTGACTTATTGCAACTGGTATGATACACAAAAGTTAGAGACAGATAACAGCAGAAGGTTTAAATAATCTTCAAAAGAGTAACACAAAATAATGATTTTGAGTACCAACTTAAAGAGCTAGTTACAATAGTTACTTATTACAAAATTAAATCTTCCTTTCACAGCTGATCTCATGAGATTTGTGTTCTGAATAATACAGGTTATTATTACCCTTGAATGAAATATGATGCTAGACTCCATACCTTAATATGGATTACTATGAAGCAAATTCCTGATTGTCTAAGTATTATATACCTATAAGAGAAATGCTTCTGGACTTATTCACTCAAACACTGGTATGATCCAGTAGCCTTAGAGCCCCTGTTGCTTTTGGTTAAAACCAAGATGATCAGGCTGAGAAGTTTAAACAAAAAGCAGATGGAGATTGGGCAGAAGTCCAGATTTCCTAGCTTTTTATATATTTAAATTGTATGGGTTCTATGTAGTCCAAAACTGCACTTTCCTATCATAGGTTAATTACTGGGTTGGCCAAAAAGATAGTTTAGTTTTTTCCATAAAACAAAAGGTACATTTTTCATTTTCACCAATAACTTTATTTCTTTTTTAAGATTTTATTCATTTATCTTTAGAGGGGAAGGGAAGGAGAGAGGGAGAGAAACATCAATGTATGGTTGCCTCTCCTGCATCCCCTGCTGGGAACTGGCCTGCAACCCAGGCATGTGCCCTGACTGGGAATTGAACTGCGATCCTTTGGTTCGAAGGCCCGCGCTCAATCCACTGAGCTACACCAGCCATGGATCACCAATAATTTTATTGATTTGGATATTTTGAGTATGCCGGCTATTTCTCATTATTGGCTTCCAGTGAGTAGAGGCCCAGGAGTGCTGCTAAACATCTTCCAATGCATAAGACAGCTTCACAGCAAAGAATCATTTGGCCAAAACGTCAGTAGTATGAAGAAACTTCACAAACCACGTTCGACACATTCAGTCCTTCACAGCCCCTTCTCCATACTCTGCACAAACCTGATTTTTGCCTTGCAGTTGTGTTTTTACCTTTCTTGAAATAATAAGCATAATACACCAAAATTTTTGTGTACGTTCTTCCATATTCAATATTAAAGTGGCTGCACAAAACTTCACCAATTTTGATCACGTTTTTAAAAAATGCATGCTGATATGACAGCTGTCACAACACAATCTAACAAAATTGTTGCAAATGCAGTTAAAGACAACTAGAGCCATTCTATAGAAAAAAGCTAAATGAACTTTTTGGTCAACCCAATATTTATGGCAATCAGTAATTTAATTATATTCCTCAAAATTGATGAGGAATATAATTTGGAATTAATTCCCATGTATATTACATGATGACAATACATATACAGGTCACCAATCTGCAGAGACTTAAAATTGTAGCTGCTCTTTGGGTGCTGTATACATTTATTTTGACAACTGGCTTACACCAAAACTATTAGAAAGCTGTATCTGCAGCCAAACGCCATTATCAAACTAAAGACTCAAATACAATTGCTTTCCAACATTAGCTCAAATATCCTATGGTGACTGATTGGTACAGTGCTCCCTAACAATCAAGAGCAAAATACTATATATTTTAACAACAAATAGCACTTAATTAAAATGATTGATGACAATGGAGATATGTTTCTAATTTATGCTTTATGAGTATATAATGTAAAACAGACCTCAGTTTGAGTACAGGTGGAGCCACTTACTAGCTATGTGGTCTTGGCAATCTATTTACTCTTTCTAAAACAGTTTCCTCATCTGTAAAAGGGGAATAATTATGATACCAACAGTCACAAAATTACTACCAAAAGCAAATTAGATAAATTACGTAAAATGCTTATCATAGTGACTTAGCATATAACAATAGCCAAATAAATTACAAATACAATTAATTGCTTTATTGTTACCATAAACTGACATGCAGAGTATCTTTACAGTTGCTAAAACATGATAAGAGACAATACACCATGTTTATTTTTCTCACTTTTAAACCTTGCAAGTTAAAAAGACAACAGAACATTCCTAATTATAAATGGTTCACTCACATACCTTTACCAAATTGTACTGTATCCATTATCCCATTTTTCACAAAGACATAAACACCCTAGGCAAAAAAGAAAGAAAAAGATATCTGCATTATTGAAAACGTTGATAATTTTTTTGATTAAGTAACATCTCTGAGATTTTATCAAAATTTTGACTTAGCATTGCACCCAAATCTAAATCTAACCTTCTTATTTATTCACTATGAGGATATTTGTTGAACTTCTCTTTATTTCTTACTTTTCATTCTATTTAACATGCATAATTTTTGTGTAGTATTTTCCCCAAATAAACAAGTAAAGTACTGCCTATGAAATCATCAGAGCAGCGCATATAAAACTTATGGCAAAAATACAAAGATTTATCGTCCTATTTTATAATGGCCTAGAAAATTGAATGGGATTCAATAAAGCATAAAGAGAAACAAATTTCAGCTCGGAAGCAACATCTGATTAATAAAGACGCAGGAGCAACAGCATAACAATTTGCAGAGAAAACAACAGCAAAACACATAAAGAAAAATTCACCTTCCCTCTTTTTTAAGTGTGTACCAGAATAAGGAAAAAACCTAACTACAACATTTATCTCAGGATAGAAATCATGCTACAGAAACTAGTGTCCATACTGTTTTTAAATAGCAACATAAATTCTCTACAAATCAAGATTAATTAATCCACAGAGGGATTAAAGCTGTCAATCAAACATTTCCTTTTACCTGTTTCCAACTAATTCACTGTAATGCAAGAGATATTGTCACACACATTTATTAAGTTCTAAGTGCCATCTCAATGCCATCGGAAGAAAAATGAAGGCATGAGTCCTAGCTTGTGTGGCTCAATGGATTGAGTGCCAGTCTGCGAACCGAAGGGTCACCAGTTCAATTCCCAGTCAGGGCACATGCCTGGGTGTTGTGGGCCAGGTCGCCAGTAGGGGGCGTGTGAGAGGCAACCACGCATAGATGTTTTTCTCCCTCTCTTTCTCCCTGCTTTCCCCTCTCTGAACAACTAAATCTTTTTTTAACATTGAAGGCATGAAATGATTTACCCCTATTAATTGCCCATTTTCATGCTGTGTTTCATTTTGAAGGAACCAGAAAACACAATCTAAGCATATGGTCTTCCCTAAAATAGCTGCACTCAAACCACAGGATTAAAATAAAAAACGAGATTTTCAAAGCAAAGAAAGTAGAAATGAGTATATTAGATGTGAAAGGAATAAGTTACTGCTATTGACATATCTTGGTATTAGTAACTCTGTCTCACATATTCCCATGGTGCTTAGAGATGCATAGGTTCATTCTGTTCATTATGTTCTCACAAACTGGACAAAGTCACCACTGAACTACTTCTCTTTAGGGACTGTGTCCTGAGAAAATTTTCATCTTCATGTAACACCTATTGACTAGTTGATGGAGGAATCGCACTGTCAAAGAAACAAATCAGTCACTTCTCTCGGAAAATTCTCCTTAGCTGAGTTTAGGAATTCGCTTTTACCACTGGGGGTCACTGCTACTTCAATTTCAAAACATCAAGGAGTAGGAGTAGAAACTGAGTTTTCCCTGAATGACTCTAAGTATAATGCAGAATATAATTTGAGTCAGAAGTAATTTTTTAAGAATATATTACATCTTTAGAGAAAAATTAGAGAGCAAACATTGTTTACATTGAAGATGAAATGCATTCGAAGTGCCCTTCTTCAACCTAATTGTTTCAGGATATTAAAGAATATAAAGGTCTTTCAGTCTTTTTGTTTTAATTGGGTGATAGTTATAATAGCAATTTAAGTATCTCTTGGGAACAGTCTGCCTCACTGAAAATAACTTTGACAATAGTATAGAAAATTAGGTCTCAGGAGACTAACACGTGAATCATCCAGCTGCTGAAATTATTCAGATCTTAATTAGTTAAGATATTTCCCTCTGAGATTAAATGATTAAGAGCATGTCGTATAACTAGTATTATCAGAATTCTGTGACAGGCAAAAGTGTTTAGAAATAACACCATATGTTCATCAGATATTTTAAATATACTTTAGAATGACCAGAGTTCACAGATTTGATATTTCAATCAGATTAGAATTTTCTGCCTTTTTAAAAATCTTTTTAAAAAGATGTTATTTATTTATTTTTATAGAGGGGAAGGGAGGGAGAGAGAGAAGGAGAGAACACCAATGTTTTGTTGCTACTCAACACACTCCCTACTAGGGACCGGGCCCACAACCCAGGCATGTGCCCTGACTAGGAATTGAACCCATGACCTTTTGGTTCATAAACCAGCACTCAATCCACTGAGCCACACCAGCCAGGGCTAGAATTTTTTTTCCTAAAAAGAATGGATTAGAAATAAAAAGCTCAAAGTGTTGCAATTGGATAGGATAGATTTGAAGTAAATCTAAATCTGTACAGCTGGGTCAGAATGATAAAAACAACGGTACCAACATTATCATGATGATACTGACATTGGAGATATTGATGCTAATACAACTATGTTGACGTGATGATAATGAAACACCAATACTGTCCACTGCTGGGAATGCTGATTGAAAGCTAAGTATTAAAATAAGGTGAATTCTATTTCGGCCAATAACTGACTAGTCAAATTGGTCTTATGAGCTAAATGAAACAAGTAAAAATGTTGCTTAGTCAGATAAGAAAACATTGAGAAGTAATCTCAGAACTTCATGTAACAGGCCAAACAATGTTTTGTAGATGCTGGGTAACATAAATGCTTACTAAACTACTTTCATCTATGAAGTGGTACAGTGGATTAAACATGGCCACAAATTATTTGCTGTTACTTGTACTGAGGAGTGGCATTTTTCCCCTCCCTTTAAAACTGGATTGGCCTCAGTGACTTAGCAATAGCAACCTTTAGAAGTGATTTTCTTGGACAACTGAGGACAGCTAAGAAACCTGGTGACTTCTGCCTAGGGCCTCTTATAACATTTTCTATACAGCCCTGAACTGCCCACGTAAGGTATCTGGCCACCTTGTCTGAGAGGTCATGTCTAGGTGCTTTGGTCAACATTCCCAGCTGAGCTCAGCCTTCTAGCATCTGTGACACATTGTTAGAGATGAAGCTGTCTTGGACCCTCTAGATCAGCCTATTCACTTCATGAATATCACTGAATGACCTCTGTGAACAGCGCATGCAACAGAAGAATCACCTGTCTGAACTCTGATCAAATTCCTGGCTTGCCAAATCATAAAATATCATAGAATGGTAGTTGTTTGAAACCACTAATTTGAAGGTAGTTTGCTACAGATCCATGGGTAACTGGAACAACTGGTATGTAATAGAAATCAGAAACCTCCAATATTGAACGACTATTAGAAAAGACTTACCTTGCACCAGCCAATGTAACGACCAGTGGTTGTGCGGATGGAGGCAAAGCCCATTTGTAAATTACCAGGCTGTTCTTCAACATATTTAGACTGGAGAGGTGGTGAAGTATATATGGGTAGCTAGGGGCAAAAAAAAAAACAACAAAACAAAACAACAACAAAAAAACAACAGTTCATTTTAAACATATAAAGTAGTTGAAATTACTTTCCCAGTAATATGGCAAAATAGGAATTCTCATCAATATTCCTGCTAAAAACAACTAAAAATACAGATTATATGAGGTCTGTTCAGAAGGTATCCAGTCATGTAATATGTAAAATAGAGACATTTCTTGAAGATACACGAAACACTGTACATAGGACAACGATGCTTAAGTCCCCTTCAACATAGGTATCTTGGGACCTCACACAGTTCTCCCAGTGGCCATCAGCTGCCCCATTGTATTTTCCTGAATATCATCAATGGTCTGAAATCTCTTCCCTTTCAAAGGTGATTTTAGTTTTGGGAAAAGCCAGAAATCATAGATGCCAAATCTGGGCTGTAGGGGGGCTAAGTCACCTGGGTGATTTGATGTTTTGCTCAAAATCTCTGCACGAGACATGATGCATGAGTGGGCACACTGTTGTGATGAAGCTGTCAGTCACCAGTTGTCCACAGCTGCTGCCTTCTGAATCATTTGAACAGTTTCCACAGAGGAATGTACAAGCTTTATGCAAAATTGGATACAGATTTTTTGGTCTACCCAGTCATTTTGAATGTGACGGCCACACAGTACACACACTCACTTAACGGCATCTACCACCCCCACTGACTACTACAGTGAAGTCGTCATTATTCACACATGTGCATTCCAGTCAACTCTCCTTGGCTGTCAAGTTACATGATGTTGCACAAACTGTTCTCATACTGACAATAGTTGGACTTTTTCAGGGCAGACCTTGTATGTGTATATATATTTTAATCAATTTATGGGGGTGACATTGGTTAATAAAGTTGTATAAGTTTCAGGTGCACAATTCTATGACACATCACCTGTATATCATATTGTGTGTTCACCACCCCAAGTCAAGTCTCCTTCTATCACCATGCATATCCCCTACCCTCTCCTACATCCCCCATCCCATTTTCCTCTGGTAATCACCATACTGCTTACCTGTCTCTATGAGTTTTGGGGGGTATTTTTTTGCAATCCTGCTCTACTTTTTCACAAATTCCTGCAACCCCTCCCCCTCTGATAGCTGTCAGTCTGTTTTCTATCTATGAGTCTGTTTCCATGTTGTTAGAATTTAGGATTTGATTCAGTAAACTATAAAACCACATTTAAATTAAAGTGAGTGAAAGTAAGTATAAGTCCCAAATCAGTATTTTCCTTTGTTATTTTTTGTGGTGAAAACAAGCAAATAACAAGAGAATGAGTCAAACTCATATCATAGCAATATTATAAAAAGAAAAATCCAATGATGCTGACCACATACACACACAGCCCACTGCCAGCCATTTTACAGATGAGAGTCCTTCAAATTTCATCATTTACAAAAACAATCACCCCATGGCTCTCCAGAGTTTTCTAATAAATAGATAATCAATTATATTCACCAGATGGTATTTAACAAGGCAGGGGCATATCAATATTTTAAATGTTTAACAAGAAGAACTGAACTAAAAAAAAGACATTCTAGTTAGCCCCAAGTTTACCAGCAGATTCAATTAAGCAGAACACCTCATTCATATCATGTTTTGGTTACCAAAGGCTTTATTGTAAATAGATGTAAACAGACTCATAGTTCACTTTACACAATAAAAGAACCTTAAAAATTTTGCATCTTAAAATTCAGAAATATGCTAATTTAGCTACTAGGGACAAATGCAAGTTACTAATCTTCCTACCTAGATTTTGAGCTTTCCAAAGACAAGAATGTCAAGGTGGGCTTAAAAACATCATCCCTCTAAGACTAAAAGAGGAGAAAGAATACTGAGACACAGCAAGTTAGCAGGGAAGTGGATCTATCCTGGGCTGCTAATAAAAAATACTGAAATCTTACATTATTATTATACAGTGCTTAGAACAGTGCCTGACATGCACGCAAGGGGAGCGCTGAAAATATTTTTGTTAAATTTTATGCATGTCAGTTTGACAATGTTTTGATATTTTTCATGCATTCTGACCTATAATTCCATTTCTAAAAATTTATTCTAAGGAAATAGTTATAGATATACATACAGACTTATGTGGAAAGTGCCTTGATAAAGCACTATTACAGTCAACAAATTACTGGACATATGCTAAATTTTCTAAAGTTATGCAAGTTGTACATTTGAAAATGGTAAATTCATACAAAAGAATATTTGAGCCACCAGTAAGAATTATTTCCAATGTCATCCAAACAGTCAGTGGTGGCGTCAAGATTCAGATTCAAACCTGTGTGACTCAAATGTACATTTCTAAGTATACGGATTAATCATAGTGTGAACTAAGGCTGGAAAACAAAAACACAGAATGCAGAACCAAATCAGTAATCACAATTAGATAACAACAGGCTTGCATGATAAATTAGATAAACAAGATGAAAGTTAAACAGGCATATATGTACTTGCAGTTGAATCCAAAAAGTCTGTATGTATAAGTACATATTGAGAAAAGACAGAGCTTACCAGTAAACCACAGTAAAATGTTTAATAAATTTTAAGAACTGCAAGTTCACTATGTCATGTTCCAAGGTCATAAGCAAGACTGATTGTGAGGACACAAAACAAAAATACATATAAAAGTGCATGTGGTCTTAGGCAGTTCAATAGAAATATATTATGTAGAACAGGAGAAGTCAGAGCCTGATTCTATTGAGCAGTGGTTACAATACTTACATCTGAAGAAAATACTAATCATCCTGAATATTTTAGCAGAGAATGATCATGATAATGATGGAACTCAAAGCTATGGACACATGAAGACTGGCTAAAGCTACTTATCTACTTATTCAGGAAGCAAAAGTTCTTAAAGTATAACTCACATCTGAAAAGTTGTTTGGTGGAAGAGAGAATTTTTCTATAAGGTACCAATGCAAGAGATACAAGGTGAATGCTCAGATCTTATTATGACACAGATTTGTCTGACCTAAGGAAGGACCTTAAATTGAATGAGAGCTGCCAGCAAACTGAATGGGCTGCCAATCAAAACTCCGGGTTCCTCTATCCAGAGTTTTAATCATGTAGAAGATAAATGGCCATTTAGTGGACTTATATTAGAGGGCATCACAGTAACATACACGAGGCTGAACTAGAGAACATCTAAAGTCACTTTCAAAAATGAGATCTTAATGAATTTTTAAACTAAAGCTTCCAAATATCAGGTGTACCTGTATAGATTTTCAAGAAAGAAAAATATGACTGCTTAAAAGTACTAAGACCCTATATAATTGATTATTCATTGAGAAAAATCACTAATCATTTTTCCTTAGAATTAGGATATTCTGAGGTCTGAGTTAAATATAATACAGTGCTTATTTTAAGATACCTTGAAACTATTTCTAGCAAATTACAAAATTTGCCTAACAAATATTTCCAAGACATTCTTGATGAATAGACCTAACAACAACACAATAAAACTCATTTTATCATATTTACATTATTAAAATATTCACAAACATTTGTAGGCAAATTACCTGCTCTGGTTTCACTAGCTGCTTTTTGGATTCCTCTTCTTTGGCTGCATGCACACTTATAGATGCAAACGTCAGACCTGCAGGGGTGGTTGTCAGCTTTGCCATCTGAGAAAGATGTATCAAGAAGATTTTAAAATAAAAAGATCCCCATCTTCCACTTCCCAATAAATGTTTGGGGGCATCCAAGGAACACTATGGCTTTCACTTAAACTTATTAAAAATCCAAGCATTAAAAATCACTTCTTCGGGGTGAGGGCTGGGTGGAGTTAGGCAAAGGGGGGGGTGGGGTACATCTGTAATAGCATCAATAAGAAAAACACGGTCACCCAAAGTAGAAAAAAACCCCACGATTTTACGATATAAACCTAAACTTCCCTTCTCATACTAGATGATAGAGTATTTTTACCAACTAGTTAACTACCTACTTCACATGGAATACAGCAATATAATAATTACCAGGAAGAAGTGAATATAAAATTTGAAGGAGGAATCAGGATTGATTGATCCTGGTATTCACTCAGTGCACAAAAACAGACTGAGCAATTACTATATCCCAAACCCTGGTGTCAGGGCTTAGGATGCTTCACAGAATAAAACGATTTTTGCCCTCGTGGAGGTGACATTCTAGTGGAGCAGGGAGAGGCAATAAACACAATGAATAAATTATATGCTATGTTCTAAAATTGATAAATGCTACAAAGAAACTAAAGGGTGATTTTGAAGTACTGAGTGAATGAGATTAAATGTTAAAATACAAATGCAAACTATTATTTATCTTTAAATATTTTATTTATTTATTTTCAGAGAGAGGGGAAGGGAAGGAGAAAGAGAGGGAAGCATCAATGTGTGGTTGCCTCTCACACACCTCCTACTGGGCACCTGGCCCACAACCCAGGCATGTGCCCCCGACTGGGAGTCAAACCACTACCCGCTGGTTCACAGGCCCATGTTCAATCCGCTGAGCCACACCAGCCAGGGCTCAAATGTACACTATTCATAAAAATAATTTCCTACACTAAAAATTCTTTGCCCCTAACTCTCCCAGTGCATTTCTTTTTTCCCTGTTTCATGCTTATTGTAAGGCCAAAGTAGCCTGTTTTGCATGTATATTGATTTGAATTAAAAAGCAGGAAAATTACTGGCTCTAAGAAGTATTTCGGTGTTTATTCAAGTACCAAAGTAATCTCCAAAGATTATCTATTCAACAGACCAAATGAAATGCTTTCCAGGGAATATACATTGTAAGAGCTTGATTCTCTAGAGGAGAAAGGCAGCTGAAATCTAAGAGCACCCAGAGGGAAGAGGTCTCCTTTGCTTACATACAAGTGTGACCACGCAGAACTGGAAGAAACGCTGGCCAAAGAATTCTAAATATTCTCTAATAATGTCTTTATTTCATTTCTGACACATTTTTCAATATTTCTGAGTAGAGCAAGGTAAGCTACAGAATCAGTTAAGCAATTTCCTGTTTAAAATATGCAGGGTAATGTTAGAGGACTCAATATTAATCAGAGGATGTTTCCTGTTTTTCCCTTCTCAAGCCTCTCTCTAGTACAGATTAGCATCAGAGAATGATTTCTCCAGGCATGACTTCCCCAAATTCACTACTTTTGATTTCTTATACACAGTAGGTATTCACTAATGAAATAACGAGATTTCCACTCCATATCTACATCAGGTATCAATATAAAACACATTAAAATGATGCCAGCAAGAATGCTCCCCCATGTACCTGAGATACTCTGATACTAAAGCTCTGAAGTGATTATATGAAGGATGTCAATTCTTACATTTAAAAGATATTTATAAAGCCCCTGATTCGACCTTACTCCTAGATATAATAAAAATACTTTTCAAGTATATTAATACCTGAAAAATTTTCAGCATGCCCAAGTTCTCAGAGCATAATTACCTTACTTTGATTAATGAAAAAAATAATAAGTGTAGACTATAAAATAAATTCATAGATACTCCTTGAAAATTATGATCTAGTGCTCCAGAGTCCTGATTGACTAAATGAACTGGAGCCTAAAACAATTAACATAGCTTAAAAAACTCAGTAGCACAGGGTTCATTCACTTTGATGTTTTTTTTTTCCTGATACATTTGTTTTTAACTTAAATGTACTGGGGTGGCATTGGTTACTAAAATTATGGAGGTTTCAAGTGTACATTTTTATAACACATGATCTGTATATTGCATTGTGTGCCCACCACCCAAAGTCAAAAATCTTTTGTCACCATGTATTTGATCCCTTTATCCTTTAGTATCCACTTTTCTCCTCTCTGCTAACAGCATGTTGTTGTCCGAGTCCAAGAGTTTTTGTTTTTTATTTGTTACTTTCAATTATCCCATCTGAGTGAAATCATTTGTTTACTGACTTTTTCTGCCTTGAATTATTTTGCTTAGCATAATATTCTCAAGGTCTATCCATGTTGTTGCAAATGGCAGTATTTTATGTTCTCCTATGGCTGAGTAGTATTTCATTGTATACGACATGTACCACATCTACTTTATCCAATCCTCTATCAAAGGACACTTTGGTTGCTCACATAACCTTCCTAGAATGAACCACAAAGAACTGCAAAATCTGTGTAGAAAGATCAATGGTGAGGAAATTGAAACAAGCACCAAAAACCCTTCCGAAAGTAAAAGTGCAGGAACAGATGGCTTCACTAGTGAATTCTACCAAACATTCAAAGATTTGATACCTATCCTTTTCAAAGTCTTCCAAACATTTGAAGAGGCAATACTTCCTAACACATGTTATGTGACCAACGAGACCAGCATAACACTGATATCAAAACCTGGCAAGGATAACACACAAAAAAGAAAACTACAGACCGATGTCTCTGATAAAAACAAATGCAAAAACCCTAAACTAAATATTAGCAAATCAAATACAACAATACACTAAATTAATACATAACAATCAAGTGGGGTTCATTCCAGGGGCACAAAGATGGCACAACGTACACAAAGAGAACAACGTAATACACCACATTAACAAAAAAAAAGAATAAACACCATATGATCTTATCAACATGCAGAAAAGATATAACACCCATTTATGATTAAAACAGTCAAGAAGGACTTCCGCCAAGATGGAGGCATAGGTGGATGTGCCGTGCCTTCTCACACAACCAAGATTAGAGAAAACTAAATATTAGCAACAGAAAACACAGCCAGAACACGGAAAATTGAACTTTTCGGAAGTCCGTTAACAACAAATTCTTCAGCCTGACCGGTAAGGGGCGAAACCAGCGGCTGGCGGAGCAGGGTTGCACAGGACTCGGCCAGACACACTCAGGCCCGCGGAATCCAGGCGCAGGGTCAGACCTAGTGAGCGACCCAGCGAGCAACCAGGCGAGCGACTGCGGGGGAGACAGCCGGGCCCGGGGCTGCGTGTTGACTGAGGTCGCGCATTTGTGCGCGGGTGGACAGGCGAGGGAGTGGGCGGTTAGACTGGGCTGGCAGGTCCCCACGGCAAGCGGCAGTGGAGGGCGCCGCCATTTCCCTGCTCTGACCCCACCTCCACATACAGCGTCATAACCCAGCGACTCTGAGTGGCCCGGCCCAGGTGAACCACCTAAGGCACTGCTCCTCTGCACCCAGCTGTGAGAAGCGGCAGAGGGGGGCGCCATTTCCCCGCTCTGGCCACGCCCCCACATACAGCGTCACAACCCAGCGACCTGGGAATCCCAGGCGCCGCTTCTCACATTTAAAGGGCCCGAACAGACCAAGAATGGCGCAGGAGGATCTCAGAGCCCCAGAGCCAATAAATCTAAGCGATGAAGAAATAGCAAAACTCACAGACGCACAGTTTAAAACATTGGTGATCAGGATCCTCACAGAACTGGTTGATTATACTGACAAATTAGACAAATATATGAAGGCGAAACTAATTGAAATGAATGGAATTGCACAGGACACCAATAGCAATGAAAAGGAAACTGGGACTCAAATCAATGGAGTGGACCAGAAGAAAGCAAATAATGGCCAAACAGAAAAGAGTCAAGAAGCAAGAATTCAAAGAAATGAGGAGAGTCTTAGGAACCTCCAGGACATCTTTAAATGCTCCAACATCCGAATTATAGGGGTACCACAAGGGGGAAGGCACAGCCACCAGTGGAAAACTTATTTGAACAAATAATAAAGGAGAATTTCCCCAATCTGGCAAAGGAAATAGACTTCCAGGAAATCCAGGAAGCTCAGAGAGTACCAAAGAAGTTGGACCCAAGAAGGAACACACCAAGGCATCGTAATTACATTAGCCAAAATTAAAATGAAGGAGAGAATCCTAGAAGCAGCAAGAGCTAAGGGGACAGTCACCTACAAAGGAGTCCCCATCAGACTGTCAGCGGATTTCTCAAAAGAGACCTTACAGGCAAGAAGGGGCTGGAAAGAAGTATTCCAAGTCATGAAATCTAAAGACCTACAACCAAGATTGCTCTATCCAGCAAAGTTTTCATTTACAATGGAAGGACAGATAAGGTGCTTCTCAGATAAGATCAAATTCAAGGAGTTCATCATCACCAAGCCCTTATTATATGAAATGTTAAAGGGACTTATCTAAGAAAAAGAAGTTAAAGAAACATGAACAGTGAAAGGACAACAAACTCACAGTTATTAACAACCACACCTAAAACTAAAGCAAACTAACAGGACAGCTAGATCAGGAGTGGAAACATAGAAATGAAGATCTCAAGGAGGGTTAGCAACAGGGGAGTGGGAGGAGGAGAAGGGGGAGAAGGTACAGAAAATAAGTAGCATAGACAGTAGATAGAAAATTGATGGGGGGGCAAGAATAGCATGGGAAATATAGAATCTAAAGGACTTGAGACACATGGTCATAAACTAAAGGGGGGGTGATGGTGGGGATGGGGGGTAGGGTGGAGGGGAATAAAGGGGGAATAGAACAACTGTAACAGCATAATCAATAAAAAAATTAAAAAAAAACAGTCAATAAGCCCTTGGCTGGTGTGGCTCAGTGAATTGACTGCAGGCCTGTGAATCAAAGGGTCACCGGTTCAATTCCCAGTCAGGGCACATGCCTGAGTTGCAGGCCTGGTCCCCAATAGGGGGTGTGTGAGAGGCAACCACAT